CCTTACCTTTGCCTTCAAAAACATTAATGTTTGAGTTTTTTTTTTCTTTTCTTTTGTTTTTAGGCTTATCCCAGAGCATTGTATTTGGTGATTAATACAAATAGCCCTAAAAAGAGAAAAAAGTCTTGCTTTTGATTACGTTTATACATAATTAAAAAATCTACTTAAACACGAATAGCTAGCATGTCAAAAAAATATAAACTATTAGAAGTTACACAGTTGACCTTCAACAGAATGCAGCAAATTCAGTTGCATATTCAGTGTTTAAAAAAGTCAAAAATTTCAAGTTTATATTAGCTAACCTATAATTAAACTTCAATAGATAACTCAGTCTCTGCATTAAATATGACTGAACACATCCAATCTCTATGGTAGCTGTAATTGAAGTCATTACTTTGAGTAGAGAGGCCTGAAATAAAAAGGTTGTCTTCTAATGAGGATGTCTAAATTGATCCATGAAGCACATTAGCCAGGCAGTTAAGTGGGAGAGCTTCAGATGCCTTTAGTTCAGACGCTTCTTGGTTGTAAACATTATTGATCATTGGAGGGTGAGTATGCTATGCTCTGATCAATTCCACACTGTAATTTATGTAGAAAATACAACAGTACGGTATTTTTGTTATCTGCAATTGAATAGACGGACAATAACATGTATTAATTTTTTGTAAAAAGGTTTGGCTAGCATCACACAGAAACAGCCTTTGGGGAAGAAAACAAGTCCAGGACTCTAAATTCTAGTTTTGCCATATTAAACAGGTTAGTCATTTCTCTTTCCTGGGCCCTCAGGCAATATCAATGAAACATGAGTGAAAATAAAATGGCACTCTAACCATCATTTGCTCACTTCATTAGGGCTTCCTTCTGCTCCAGAAGAAGCAATTGCTTCACTTAAACCACACAAACATCTCGTAGTTCAGAGCCAAGTGTTAGGGAAACAGAGCACAGAGCAACCTTAACATTTTAATCGCAGCAAGACTCCTGACATTCTAATCAGGGAATTTGCAGTGCACGGTTAGCAGTGATGGAACAGGGCTCGTTATCAGAGAGGCCAGGCCACGTACCTGGCATGTGGAAACATTCCTCAGAGCCAAAACTCTCTCAACGACCCACATCCCTCCACTGCTCTCCACGGACTAAAAGAATGAACGACCAGATGTTTGAGTAAAAAGCAGCCAAAGATGATGAGAGACAGCTTTAGCGCTTGAGAAAGATAGTAAAACCGGAAAATTTGATTTCCCGAATAACTTTTCCTAAATTTATGCAGAGAGATGCATAAGTGTAACATAGAAATTATTCTTTTCACTCCCCAGTGCGGAAAATATTCACTTTAAAATGCCGTGCTACTTTACTTTGACCTGTGACCATACCTTCAAGTTATTATCTTTCATCCCTGCCACTTTGAAATGTTCCTTGAACTCAAGTGACAAGCTAATTATCTTCAAGATATCTAATGTGTTTAAAATGTGGAAAATCAAGCAGGAGAACATAATGTTTCTCAGAGTAATATGAGACAGAGACAGAAAAATAGTCAAGTGGAAAAAACATTCATTGCTGACAATCTGCTGTAATTGTGCAGGAGCTATATCATAAAGAAAAATAATTTTTTGCACTCAATAGCGTATCTAAGAGCCTGAATTTAGCAGACTCGAAATATGTAATTGAGCAATTCACATTGGGATAGATCATCTGCTTTATTCCTGCAGCTCAAGAGTACAGCAGCCTTTTCAACTACATTCAAATTCTACTTCAAAAAACTGAGGAAGTTATTGATCAAATTGAAAGTCAATACAAGTTTGCTTTTTCTTTGGAGTGCGGAGTGTACTTGACCTCAAAAGGGATTTAAAAACAATTTTAAAAAATACAAAAAAAATAAAAAATGGTTTAGTATTTTTACTTCATGATCAGAAAATGGACAAATTTTGGTATGGTGAAAGATCAAGACCTTTAAAAGTTTTATTTAAATAGAGCTGGCGCTAACAATTATATTGTTTGCATCACAAACTGGGTCATAATTATTAATCTGATTCATCAAGAGCAAAACAGCAACAAGGTAAAACATTCAAGTATTTAATCCAATACATAGTTGAAGTTAAAAACTAAAAATAAAACTTTCAGGATTTCCCTGTATTTAGCTTTGTCTATCTTCTCATTAACTCCATTGTCCTAATCCCTACTGAAAAAGTCATGGTGCTGCCACTATTATGTCTCACAAAGGGTGATTTTCATTTGCAAAAATGTTAAAATCCATGTCTCATTCTTCCTTCCCTTTCATAGTGATCGACTCTTTTGTTTTGCTCTATCACAAACTACCTGTTGTTCATGAGCACCAGCAATGCATTCTCGGAGTATGTCTCCCAGGATGACATTGATGGGTTCAAATATAAAACTGACAGGTCAGAGCATTATTTTTTCAAACCAGAAAGATGTGTTTTTACAGCATGACTATCTTCCAGAGAGTGATGAGACATGTTCGGCTGTGACAAAGCAAGGCATTTATATTACCCGGACCAACATCACAGGACAAATAAACAGAAGCAGATATAAACACAACAAAAATAAGTCAGTGCTTGATTTTACACCGTGAAACTGTGTTAGCCTAAGTAAACAGCATAAATATCCCACAACAGTGCATGCACTGAATTCCCTAGCAGTGAAAATGGTTTGCAGAAAACAACTCTGTAAACGAGATATTTTTTTAGGAATGCAAACTATGATTTGATAAAATAAAAAGAAAAAAGCAAATGTGAATGCCCCCCACTTTGGGACACAAGACAACTGGTAAGATGATGCACGAAATACTGGGTCCTTTGTGAATGTAGATACTGAAACAGCCTTTCACAACAGAAACCCTGGAGTAACATTTAAATTGAACTGTCACTATGTACTGGCTTCTGAAATTGCCTGCTTCCATAGTATGTAGACAAAAATGGCATAAAGAACAGGAAACAGTCTATTCTAAGCTGAGAACAATATTTTGTCTATTGCTGCATTTTACAGAAGATGTGTAATTTTCTTTTTCCAGTCAGATATTCTTACCATATGAAGAGAAGGGAGACCATAACTAGACATTTGCTAGTAACGTCAATTATAGCTGAAAAATTATCAAAAAAATATCATTAACATCAACCAAACCACCTATAACAAAAGTCATAGACAGTAAATGCTCAGGTGTTTTCTCAGTAAAACGTTGGCCTGTAAAAGGACAGATTTATCCTCCAACTTTACCTACAGACAGTTTCCTATAAATCTGAATCTTATGCCAAAACAATATGCCGATATCTTCATCCTTTATTGTGCAACATTTAGTCTTTAGTTAAAGTTCAACAACCTCTTCCTAAAACTACACTGTCAACCCTCTCTCACTTCATCATCAGAAACACTTAAAAGACTAATGTGGCAGCTGATTAGTGTTCACCAAATCTTTTAAACATCTTCATTACTCGTGAAGATACAGCCAATTAGGTCCCACTTTCTCTGTGATTGAGGAATATATAAATGCTAACCGTGTCTTCTAATTTATATATATACATATAAGTAAAATCTTCTTTCAAGTATAAATAGATCTTTTTATTTTCCCTCCCTGTAGAGCTTGTACTGAATTATAGACACCTTTTTGCAAAGATCTCTCAGTTACAGTTGTTTCTGTCACTTTAAAGCTTGTGCAGAATTCTGTTTTCGTTTCTACATTTTAATCTGACTTAAAGTGATGCTTTGCAAAAAATAAATAAATTAAAATGAAATGGTTTCTGTTAGGCAGAAGATAAGGGCCTTACTTATCTTACCATTCATCCATGTCCAATCTCTACGTATAACCTCTCCCTTTTCTTCACGGATTTTCCAACCATTGCCACTTGAATTCGTTTTCATCTACCGCCTTCCTGTTATGTTCGTTTCCTTGATCCTCTTTAATTCCCTCCTCCACCATTACTGCGACCCATAGCCCTTTGGCTCTCTGTGCCCTATGGAGCCCATACAGTCCGCACAGTCAGTGATAGAATGCTAGAGCGAAGCCAACGAGATAAAAAAAAAAAAGCTGTTGTATGAGTCTGACTTATTGCAATCTGATACTAAATTAATGTCCCTTATAGCACCGAAGGTCAGAGAGACACATGCACAACATGTGTGGTGTCCTTATGATAAATCATCCAGGCAGTTTAATGCAATCGATCATACCTACAGAGGCAGTGATGTGATCTTCAAAAGCAACAAAAGCCAAATGAAGAAAATTACACAATTGGGTTTAAGGCAATAGATTTTTCAGCTTACCTCAACATATATAGTGTAACATTTTAATGGGTCAGATTCTTTGTCAGAAAATAAGTCCAGTATTTGTTTTGAATTACAACCGCTGGTACCCACCTGGTGTTAAAAATCTGATTAAACTTCCTCTTTTAGGTCAGAAAAGATAATGAAAATGAATTATATTTCCTAAATAATAAGAGAGAGAATTATTAAACCTTTATTAAAATTCAAACACTTAAAATTACATTTCTAAACAATTAGAGAAAATACAGGTAAGAATGATATGGCAAATGGTTAAGTTTTTAAATTCATTTTAGGCTATTTTCTAATGCAAAATTAGAAAAAGACTTTAAACAAATCATACATATAAAAAAATGCATTTAGATTACTTAATTTGGAGAACGATCAAACATTATTCTCGCTGATTATTCTGGTCTTTTGCCAATATAAACAATTTTGATAATTCAAACTGACCAAAACCATAAAAGGTTTTTATTTGACTTAATGCCCAGCAATGGGAGAAAAAAATAGGTTTTGTAGAGTTTAATAGTTTATGTAAATATTTGGTTTTAACTATTCTAAATATATTACCCCTAAAGAATTTTCAGTTATTTTCTAATATTGTTAGTTTTTTTTTTTTAATACTCTCTCTACTGATTCAATTTATATGTTAATATATAATATTCCGAGGACAACATTAATTCGCACACACCCAGTTGGATAAATCAGAAAACAAAAGAAATCTTCTGTAAGCTTACCCAACAAAGCTGACATGTTCTGGAAAATTCTGAGCAGCTCCGGGGTGATGGCTGGGCTGTTCTCCAAAGTCACCAGCCTACACAATGAGAGGGAGGAAATGGGGTGAGCACACATTAAGGAGCAAAGGGAAACATGAGAGGAACAAAGCAGATAAGGAATATTAAAACAGAAAATAGGAAGATGATGTGAGAAAAATGTGCAGAAGATACATATTGGAGGTGACAAACAGAAAACTCGTTGGAAAAATGTAACCGGACAAATTACAGAGACAGAATATAGAAGGAGAGCAAATCATAAGGGTGGCAAAAACATAACAAATAAGCAAGGAGGTGAAAAGACAAAGTAGTATAAAGAAAAGGGGATGTGATATTAATCCGGTATGAGTATGATTGTCCTGATGTTTTTGATTTCAATTCACTGGAAGAAAAACAAAGTAATTATGAAAAAACTACAAGGATTTTCAGATCAGAGATTTGAAATGTTAATATTTGGGCTGGTCAATAATAGGGAGAGAAAAAAAAATTCTCCACAATTATGATTATCAAAATAACATATTGAGCTAAGAAACTGACAAATTATTGCAAATAAAAGAGCTGTTTGCAAATCTCTTCACTCAAAATGTATTTTGTTTTCCGATAATATCTTCTGAATTACCTCCTCCAAAGTTGCATTTTTTCCTCACACAAGTGTCTAAAAAAATCAATGTTTTTGTGAAGTTAAGATTGAACCAATCAGGGATTTCCTGGCTCATGCTGATTTCTTGTTGTGCTGCAGATTCTTTTGATGGAGGTGGCAGTTTTGAACGCAACAGTAAATAAAGGAATTACAAGATTATTCCCACTTACACACGTCTTGATTTTTAAAGAAATATAAAAGAAGTTCATCAAATTACATGGAGCTGATTGAGGCATTACTGGACAGGAGCCTTTTTGCTGCTCCATTACGGATGTGCTTTGGATTATTTTACTAAAAAAATCACTATAAGGGCTGATCCCCCTGAAACTCATTATTGGTTTAGTAATCACTTTGACCTTTTAACAATTTGAATTTTGTTTTCCCATGTTCTTTTTGTACTTCTAATTTGGAGTTCCTTTTCAAAGTATGCTTGATCATTTTAACTCACGAGCCGCTGTCTAACATTTTCCCCTCGTCAGTCAACTTTTTAATCAAAGTATGTCACATTTACACAGAATCAACAACATGAAGATCATGGCAGTTTTCTACTACTCTACTAAACCTATTAGCAAATCAGTTGTAACAAAGACAACATTTCTTCCAAAAAAGTGACATAGCTGGTGTTTTATGTTGCACTGCTATTATTTTGTTGCAACTACTTACCATGAGTGAACAGATTTTGATTTATGTAAACTTTTTCAAAAGGTATTGGTAGTTTGCGGAAGGTTTCACTAACTTCTATTAGCTGTGATAAGAAATGTACAGAAGAGATACTGAAGAGGACACAAACAGGAAAATAATCAATGAAAGATAAAAGAATGAGAAAATGACAATGTCTTTGTAAACAAAAAAAAGGCATACAGAGCAGTGCTGGTTATCAGGGAGGATAAAAGACAGGGCAGAGATATGCGGCTGGCACAAAGACAAAATGAGAAAACGACGTACAATCTTTAGAACATGAAAGAAATTTTTATTTTTCGAAAAGGAAGTTTTAAAAGTCTGAAGAAGCTTTAAAACTACTTGTTTCCAAAACAGCCATAAAATGAAGATTGTGAACAACATGAACATTCAACAAATCCAGTGATCACTGGCCATCTCTGCCAGTGAAAAGACCCAATTCAAACAAGATGCAACAACGAGGTCATTAAGCAACATTTATCTACAAACTGGCCTCTAAACGGGATAGTAAACATTAGCCAGTAAATGAGGCAGAGAAATGATAAGACAAAGAAGACTCATCATCGATAGGCACTACAGAGAAAAGAGGCAAAAATAAAGACAGCCACAGTATCCATGTGTAGGCGTGTGTGTAAGGGATGAAATGAGATCACTAAGTACTTCATAAAGATCAGCCTCAGGGAATCTTGTTTTCTTCCCTGGACTCAGAAATGTTTGAATACTGCATGTTTATCCATACCAAAGCTCCAGTCCATCCTCTAGCAGATAGACGTGTGGCGGCTGAGAAACGTCGGTGCTCAGTTGGATGACAGGAAGAAGGAAAGGGTAAAGGTTCTTACTCTCTGCCCCAAGGCCCTGAAAGAACAAAAAGATACAGGAATCAATGCCAAACAGTGACAGCAAGACATGGATGCTTCAAAGTGTTCCCCTGCTTTCTGTGTCTCGCTTTAATTGAAGTTCTTTGCAGCTCATCTGAGGAGAGCTCAGCAGAGGAATGGATTTATGCATTGTTTCCTAACCACGTGCTGTCACACTACATTTTTCTTCGCACAAAAATGAACAGCACAAAATGGGGACCTTTCACGCTGCAAGGCACGTGCCACCACTCCTAGTTCTAATAACATGAAGCTGTCAAAAAGAAAAGCTTTTCCAATTGAAGGTCTTTAATTTTGAAGCACAATGCTTATTTTAGGCAGCTAGATTTGTTTGGACATTACATGTTAATTTGATGACCCAATAAAACTGTGCGTGCCCATTAACTTTGAGTTTAGGAAAAACAATATACTGCGGCACAACAACAGGAACTAAGTTACACTTCATTTCCTGGTCATTTGGACTTTAATGACATTTAAAATGATCTATGGTTAAGTAGGAAGTTACCATTTTTGAAGAAGTCAAATCATATTGCTATATAGAAATATACCTTTAGTGTAGAATAGAAAAAAAAAAAACTCTACAAATAGAAATGATCACTATAATGGATATCAATCAATCAATCAAATCAATCAAATTTTATTTGTATTGCACATTTCAGCAGCAAGGCATTTCAAAGTGCTCTACATCATAAACACAAAAACACAAAGTCATGCATCATGGAATAAACAATACATTGTTACATATTACATTTCAAATACAATTCTAAGTGTTTCACTACATAAAATATAAGATGCAAAGTACAATTTTCAAAAATTATGGCAACCTTTCCTACAAGTGTTCTTTTCAATAAACCTCAGTAAAATTTAACCAATTAAAGAATGGCAATTTAATTATATTAATCAATGTTAAACCACTGAGCAGTAAGTAGAAGGTAATTTAGTACAGATTTAGAAAAACAGGAAAACTTCATTGTTGTGGCACAAATAAAGATACGCTTGATATATCAAAAATTATAATTTATAATCAGCTGATCTGATTATCCATAAAATGTCAGCGGAGAGTCCACCACAACTGCGATGCCCTCACAGCACACCCACAATAGTGAGGAGTAGTTTGTAATAAAAACGCTCATGAGGGTAACTTTAATGACATTTAACCAGACATTGACCAGTTAGAGAGGACTGTTAGCAAAGAAGCACCTTAGTCAGACTCTTACTGGCTTCAGCTAGTATCTCTTCATAAGGAATTTTGCTTCTGTTCTGCGGCTGATACGCACATCAAAAGCCATCACCTTCTTGAGTAGTATGATGGCTAGGCACTTCCATAATTTTCATACTTGTATTTAATTGTTAGAAGACATGAAGGTGGCACCTTCAAGCATCGTAAAAGTGTACCCAGCAATGAACCTGACTTGTGGAGGTCTCCAATCTTCTTATTGATTTATTTACATTCTTCCATCTCACAATAAACCAGTGTATTTATGAGATGCTTTTATTAATGGGTAAACCTTCAGTTAACTCAAATGCTGAAAAATAAGAGTAGCTTAAGCAGTCATGACATCATCATCTGATTACAACTATTCCTTGCTTAAAAACTAATCCGAGTACGTGCAAAACATTTTTATATTCTCTAATTCTGCCTTTTACTTCATGTAATCCAAACTGAACTAAAAGGAAAAGCTTAGTCTGATTTAATTTCAGATTGTGAGAAAGAAAGCTTAACAATGTTTTATATACACTGTGTAAATATCAAGTTTCTACTGTATATCTGCAAAAGCATTAAATTTGGTTTTCATAGCAAAGTTGTTCTTATGAATTATGCACACCAACATAGCAGGTCCATTCAAACTCATCTTTAATATTTGCCACATATGCCCTCAAACGCCTTTCTGTTGATGAAAAAATAACCACTGTCACTGACTCTTAAATGGATCCAATCCCTTCACATTTCATTTCACTTTGTATTTTCAAACAAAACACTAAACTCACAGTGAAGAATTGGCAAGAGCATGTTTGTAGGATTGCATGATGGGGGGCTCAAGGGGATATTGAAGTAGCAGAATTAATCCGTGTGAAGGCAAAGAGGATCCAGAGTAGTGTTTCAGAACAGTCAACAGTGTTTCTAAAATGGCACGACATTAATTTGCTCCCTCTTGCATTTATGTGGGTGTAAAAAGAAATGAGAGCGTCACTCAATCCCCCGCTGGAGCAAACTTGTCTTACAGGCAAAATTCATCCATTAAAAACAAACGAGTCAATACTGCAGCTTTTATGAGCTTAACAGTTGACTTCATGCCATGCGATCATAAGAAGACAAGATTGGTTTGTTCCAGGGCCAGATGGACTGAAGTTTAATAGTCAAAATAAACACACTTAACAGATTCATATCCATTTTGCTGCAAGACCACTGATCCAATACTTCACAGCAATGCAACTGTATTTGACCTTTGCCATGCCATCTAAATTAGTTCTGCTTGTTTTTGTTTAAAATGAAGACCATATGAAGTCTGTAAAGCCAAACAGAGAAAATGGGCATTTTGTCCACAGTTGCACCATTGCAAAAATATTCACGTCTCTTGAACTTTTCAACATTTTGTCTCTTGGGAACCCAAAAATTCAATGTATGTTACTGAATTTTATGTGGTAGACGAACATAAAGTAATGTCTGAATATTAAATAGAGATACATGGTTTTCAAAAAATATATATTTTTTACTTTTACTCTGATTTGCTAAATAAATTCAAATGCAAGTACCGTATTTTCCGGACTATAAGTCGCACCGTAGAATAAGTCACATTTTTGAGGAAAATTTTTTTGATAAAATCCAACACCAAGAACAGACATGTCATCTTGAAAGGCAATAAAAATAGAATAGAGGCAACAACAGGCTGAATAATTGTACGGTATGCTAACGTAACATGACAAACAATGAACTGAGAACGTGCCTGGTATGTTAGCATAACATATTAAGAGTTATTCAGATAACTATAGTATAAATAACATGCTAACAAGTTTATCAAGAACCATCCGTGTCACTCCAAATCACTAAACGCAATAAAATCTTCATCCTCGATGACGCTTTTAAACAACTCCGCCAACTCCGAAGGTAGAAAACACAGGCCTGGAGCGCCCTCTGGCGGGTTAGTGTGAAAATAACATGCGATATGATATAACGATGTGTTAATTTCCACACATAAGTCGCTCCGGAGCATAAGTCACACCCCTGGCCAAACTATGAAAAAAACTGCGACTTATAGTCCGAAAAATACGGTAACTGTCTTTAAAGATCGCCTTATTAGTAAACAGTGTCTACTTGTGTCTAACTTATCTGTATAGAGCTAGCTGTTTTGTGAAGACTTCAGGTTTGTTAGAGAAGATTAATAAACAGAAAACAATATGAAGACCAGTAAAGACACCATACAAATTGATGATAAAAAAATAAACATAAACCATATACTCTAAAGGAGTTGAGACTGGGCCAGAGGTTAATCTCCCAGCAAGACAACAACACTATACATGAGGCAACAGGAGGAGGCCAGAATTGTGTTACATGTGTTAACAATTGTCCTGTCAAAATCCAGACCTATATTTGATAGAGAACCTGTAGTGAAACGTGGAAACTGATGACAGACATTCATCCATGAAGTGTAACTGAGTCTGAGCTAATTTGCAAAGTTGAATCCCGTCACACTGGCATCCTCTACACAGAGCTCGTAAAAACATACCCCCAAAAAACTCACAAAGACTGCAAAATGAGATTCTACAAAGTATTCGGTCAGAGGACTAAACACACATTTAAGCAATTTTGAATCAACCTCAGTGTTGTGGTTATCCATCATATAATCTCCTCCTCCCCAAAAATACGCAAAAGATACTCACTTGAATAAAAGGTAGAAAGATTCAACTGGCATGAACAGTTTTGCACAGCCCTGCAAACTCATTTGTTCAACCTCACGAGTTTCACTTAGTTTGCCAGATGTATTCTCGTTTCACTCTCAATGGGAGCTTGTCATAATCATCTGCCACTATGAAGTAATGCAGCCGAGCCACATAGGGGTCCAAAGCATATTGAAGACTAAGTCGGGCAGCTTCACTCCTGTGGGTAACAAAGCTCATGGAAGGAGCAATTTTTTCTCATTACCTCCATGGCAAACTCAAGTGATGTTGCAGCAAATTATCAAAAATGACAAATCATAAAAAATGTCTTGCAAGATTATGCGCTGCACTGCCAGAACCAGGCGTATTATACATTGTACCAAAGTATTATGAACCCTCTGAGTTTCTGTAAGAGTTTCAAAGTAGGAGTAGAAAAAAAAAAAAAAAAAAAACATCATATGCATGATTATAAGAAATAAGAATTCCTGAAATGTGCATAATGTAGGCCAGCAGCCAGAAAAGGAAAAGTCATGAAAGTGCCAGATGTACTAAACATGACCATAGATCACAACAGACGGCCGGGTTTTTGTGCTTGACAGTACATAGTCATGCAGAAAACACTAAAGCATGCAATGGATGGCGAAGCTCTGTACCTGCACCAGGTGGATTAGTGTTGTCAGTATGGCACATCGAAGCATGTTGTGTTCTTCAGACTGTTTCCAGAGCAGGGGCAGGTACTGAACCAAGCAGCCTACATATGGTCGGATCTGGAGAAAAAAACAAAAGATGAGGGAATCAAAATATAAACATCACTGTGAAGATTAGCAAGGAATGAAAAATAAATTTGATAGAATGTAAGTGAGAAATTTGATCTGAATAGTCAAGCTTTTACTTTAGTCTAAATAGTAAGTGGTGTAGCAATACTTATAAGGGTAGCTACACGTAATTAAAAAGTCCAAAGTAAACCTGAAGGCTCAGAAGTAACACTGAATGGCCTCCACACAGCAAAGTGCAGCGCTGACAACGCGGGGCACAATTTCAGTGGGAACCATTGTCAGTAAACAACAAGGAAAATTCTCTGAGCAAAACAGCAGATGGACCAATCAGCCTCTTTCAGTCGTTACTTCTAGGAAAACACCAGGTGGGTTATTGCACAATGCAAAAACAGCATCTGTGATAGTAGAAATAAAGCTAAATGTTTTGTACTGGATTTAATGCAACATGTACAGCCATACACTTCAAATTAAAGTTTGTGGTTGTGGGTATTCTTTGTTTTCACCAAAGAATACTAAAAACTTCATATTTGAAAACTCTACTTATTGAGGCAAGACGACCTGCCTGCTGAGAAAATATGTCACACAGTAAGCATTTAATAGGTTAGCAATCAAAAATGGGACAGAAAAAGCTCTGACTTGTTCAGAAATCAACTTTCTTCTTATTGATTTAACACTAAACTATGAAACTGTGTTAAGAAAAGACTTGACATTCTTTTTGAAATATGATTCATATATATGTATATTTTCTTACACTCATAAATCCTAAAATCCTCTGACAGCGTCAGCAGAATCTTTAGATTCACAGCACTTTAAATACAAAATGTAGCTAATCTCTTCTTTTCACCCAAGAAGATCATGTTTCCATCTCCTCCAGTCCCACGTGTCTACCTGTCATGCCAGGCATGTCCTCCCTCACTACATCCATTAATCTTTTCTTTGCCCTTCTCCTATCTGCCGGGCAGCTTAGTCTTCTGCATCCCTCTCTCACACGCAGACCGTATCTCTCCTCGGCACATGTTCAAACCAACTCAATTGTGACTCGTATTTTTAAACAGAAAAGCCAAACTGGAGCAGCTATTCATGACTACTCTAGTCCAATCCTGGTGGTTTAAAAGCCAAGTCAGCTTCCTTTATCTACTGCCGTTTTACAAGTGCATCTCATTTTTTTTTGCAAAACAAAAGGCTGCAGAGTGTTTGACTTTATTAAAAAAAAAGTGTACTTAGATTTGATAACTTGATACAAAAAGGAAGAAAAGTTAGTCAGAAATTTTCAAACAGTATAATATTGACAAACTTGATCTGTTTTCTTTCAGAACCCTTCTGCTTCTTGGTTTTGACACATTTAAGAAAAAAGCATACATGACCCTTTGTATAAGTCTTAAGCTTGGTTACTAAGTAGAATATAAATAATTACCTAAATAAAATTAAATAATTACCTAAATAAAAGTGATGCTTGTCCTGCTTTAGTTTTCACACCATAATGTTTTTCAAAAATTTTCTTTATTTTAATTACGGGAAGATTTTACTAGCCATCTTTAATACATCTGACCAACAATGTGCAGCAGCATGTGAGGCAGTGGTAGTGTTTCATTAGTCACAATTATATAAAAAAACTACAACCAATCCACCACTTTCTCTGGCCTTGCAACAAAATCTAAATCTTCATACACAAAACTGCCACATGCCTGCTTGAGTCTCAGTTTGAACTGAGACAGAAACGTCACAATTCAAACTTATTTTAAACATATAACCAATGCAGTGGACTCGCACCTGTATTGGTTACATTCAATCTTGGTTCAATACAGATCAAGTTTGAATAGATCAATCTAGGTCCGGTATTTGCAGATTGATCTATTGTCAGATTTTTCGGTCAAAAATAACTCCAAATTAATTGCGTTTGGAAATTTACCTCATAAATCTTACAGTACTGTAGAACTGAATTTAGGACCTTAAGAAAGGTCATATCCATTTTTACTTAGGATTTTTCGAACATTTTATATCCTCTTTAGTGGCTGTGTTGCTGAGGTGCAAAACCAACACCGTGATTCTTTATTTCTTTTTTGGTCGATTACACCGTAGTCGGAAGCGAGTTAGGAGCGGAGGGAACAGTAAATACAAAAACACGACATACAGCCCCGAGGAGAGAGATAAAAAGTGAGGAAAATCAGACCCACTAACCAGCCTGGGGTGACATTTGTGAGATTGACAGTGAAAAAGGAGCTAAATCTCATATCTGTCAACGTGTTCATTTCAACTCAAGCTGCACTCATGGTTTCATTGCCGAGGTTTTTTTCCCCCTTCAACTGCTGCCACTCTTTGCGGGTTAAAAATCCCCTGTGAGGAGATCTAAAATATTAATAGGACATCAACTGACTCCGATAGTTTATCCAATGCCAATAACTGGTGAAGACGTAACAAAACTGACAGTTCACCAGGATCAAAGTAATAAATTTGACAGATTTAAGTCAAGGAATCATGTAGGCAAAGGTACTTAGAATGCATCTTTAAAAAAATATATCAAAGAGAAACAGTAGGGTTTCCACAGGACGGTCATTATTTTTAGGACTGACAGTTAAATGGATTAAATTGAAGCTCAGAAAAAATGGCATCCACATGACCATAAAAGGAGTGCAGAGAGATGACTGTACCCTCATGGTAAATGAGAGCAGACATAAGAACAAGCGCTGCCTGGGGCTTGTGACTTAAAAAGAAACGGGCTATGTCGCACTGAAAATATCACTGAGAAATTGTGCATGTCTGTCTAACTGTATAGCCGTATTTTTGTTTTGTTGGCCTGGTCCGGGTGTTGCAGAAGGTGACAAATCTTTTGTAACTTAGTTTCGCTTGTTCCCCTCAGAGTGCAGGTCAATAACTTCAGCTTGTACGTTATTCATCAAAGGGTAACTAAATTTCTCCCTTGTAGAAGGGCATCTTTATGTTCTCCAAAACTTTATTTGTCACACTTGAGACATGTACAAGTGGCAATAAATTAAAATAACATTGCAAGGTTTCAGTCATACAATGTAGAAGAAAATCTCATGATATAAATGAATTAGGTTCCGGCAAATAGATTTTACTTACAGCTTACAATTTTGATAATTACCTCTAACAGCTTTAATTAAAAGTTCCCAGGACATTAGAATATTACATCAGATCAAAAGAGAAATTTTTAAATAGAAATTTCACCCCACGGAAAAGTATGTCCATATTCTATGTGTAACAGAGAGCAGACGTATACAGTATATTCAGTCAGTACTTTTTCTGGATAATGTTTTGCTTGAATTGCTCCATCAATGCAGCCAGAGGCATTTTCGAGGTGTCAGGGAAGCTAACACAGCTTTAATAGCAGCTTTCAGCTCGTCTACATTGTGCCTCGGGTGTCTCTCATATTCCCCTTGACAATGTTCCACGGGTTTGGGTCCAGTCAGTTTGCTGACCAATGCAGTTCAAAACTTGTAACTGTCTTTTAAACTCTTTCTTGACGAAATTTTTTTTCCACCATACTTTTACTTTTCACTCAACTTTCCACTCACATATGCATGGATACAGCAGGGTAAACAGACCAACTTTGTTGGTCCTATGAAATATTCCAATGTGCCAAGAAATTTAATTTTGTTTTCATTAGCTACAAGTTCAATAAACAAGTTACCACTCTGAGTAACTTTTCCATTCGTTCTTATTAAAAGCAGTTAACAAAATAAATGTTTTAATGGTTTTCTATATTACTGAGGGTCACCAGTTTATAAAAGTGCAACTGGAAAAACACTCCAAAAGCTTCGTCAAATCTCACCTGAGTGTTGACTCGCTCTATGACGCAGGAAATAACATGAAGAACCTGCATCTTAGTGTCACACTCTGTAACCTGCTGCAAAAGCTGGAAGAGAAGCCCAAAGATGGACTCCAGGTACTAAAACAGAGACAGAAGATGCAAAATATTTGAGACTAATTATGACAAACCAACAAAAGAAGCTTCATTTATTATTGAATTTAAAATATATATTTCTTAACAGTTAATTCAGATATTATACTCACAGGGAGGAATTGTTCTGTCCGAAATTCAAAATCATCAACAGGTGATCCTGAGTTATGGATATAACTTTACTGCATTGGATAGACTGAAACCAAAACAACTTTTATTTGCTCTGCAGAAATGCAATAAGTCTTCAAAAATAAAATAGATAGGAATGAAAACTTCACTTGTTGGAAAGTTTTGACATAGGAAGGATATTCAGCTTTAGTGTTGTTGCCGTTTCAATCCGCACCTGTGAGGGAAAGTGAAAAAGAAGCTAAATTAAAAAAGGAACATTCAACAATGCCACTATATTAGTACACAACATTTTTATATTGAAAGCTGCACAAAAATGGAAAATAAGCTAAGTTTATAGAAGTTTCAGGTGGATGAAGCTAAGAATAGTATGTTCCTGTCAGTCATTTCATAACCAACAAATATGAAACATCTGCATAAAAAAATGCAATCATTATATGAGGAATAAAGGAATGAAGAAAATCCAATTGCTCTGATTTATCGCCTCTTTTGAAAGGGGTTCTAAAGTCTATGCATCTTTTGTAAACAAATTCCAAAAACCTGAATGTTTTCTCAAAATTATATTTATTCATTCACTCCCCCAAAACCATTAAAACATAAATGAAAGAAGAAAATCTCAACTGTGACAATTTACTTTTTTACTAAATTACTGACTAAATTTTGATTGGATGAAACTGCAACTATTGTTATTACTTTGAAATTACTTTGAAACTCAGATAGCTACACACAAAAGCCCATTCCAATTCATTTTAAACCTTTGGAAATAAAATTTCTAGCTAAATAATTTTTTTAAAAGATGCGGCAGCCCATTGTTTATATATCCCGAGTATAACCTAGCAGAGTCTCAATAGGGGCTGGAAACATCCACCAGGGAAAGAAATCAGATGGCAGAAGAGATTAAAGGAGGTAAATGAGAACAGAGAAAGGTAAGGAGCTGAGAACTCAATTACTGCAGATTCTTTCAAGCAAATCATTCATGTTATGGGTGTGACAGAGAATATGATTTTTTAATCACAGTGCAAGCAGTCCTGTGGATAAATAATTTTATATGCAATGTGTAAAAAGAACCAAAAAAAATGTGACCTCAGCTTTGCAATTTTGCTCAAAATGTAACTACTGTGTAACTGACCACTCCAAACCCAATGGCATAGAAAATATGTATTCATTTTTCTACCCTTTATTTTCCCTTTAGCAATATCACACTACCTTGCATTTCTTCCTGACAACACAAAAGTTCTACGTCAACATTTAAGGAAAGTGGAAAAGCAATTTCAGCAACATGGCTTCAGTTACATCCACAGTAAAGAACATGATCCATTTTTTACTGTCATCAATCATGCCTCTCAACGCATCAGCATCAGTGAGGTCTGCAGAGATTGTCATTTGTTTCTAGTTTTCCACTACATAAACCATCAGTCTTTGTGCAATTGCCAGCAGGTCAGAACAGTTGGTCCTGGCAGCTGATGTTAGCTTTTCCCCAGAACTGATGAAAGTGATAAGTCTTCTTCTTTACTGGGCTGAGTCACTTCCTAATCCCGCTGCAGATGGTATCTGCTATGACTCCCAGGACTTGATCTAATAGCCTTCTCCAAAATCTTTTTGGTAAAATGTACAAAACTCCAAGGCACTGATCTATTGCTAAAAAGTTTCAGAAGAATGCAAGGATTTGTGTTTGGTTTTAACTGTAAATCACAGACAAAGAAACTAAGTAAAGATGTATTTTATGAAAGTCTACTTTAACTGATCATTTTAATTATAAAGGGGGAAAAAAGCTATCTGGGCTAACCTGGCCAAATGATCACTTGACCAACTCCATGTTTAACCATCAGTATGAGTTTAGCAGAGCCATGCTAGCCTGAATATGGTAAAGGAGTTTTGCTGTAGACTTCATATGGGAAGAAAACATGAATGAGTTGAGGGAGGAAGGCTGGACATGATATTGAATGGTGGGTGCAGCCACTGATCATCATGGACAGCCATGATGTCATTGGATCTTCCCATAGTATAACACCAGGCAAAGTTAGAAAAAGAAACTCAGATCAGTTTTCAAAATTGACTTATTTAGAATTTTTATGATTCACATATCTTTTATCCAAGGTTTCTTTATTAATGTTCAACATTTTCAGACTCATTTTATTTGTGCATTTATTTTTTTATTTTTAAATTACCTTAAATTGCAATATCTGAATGTTGAGTTCTGTTCTCTGGAAGGCCATTGAGGCTGTTTTGAGTTTCAAAACTGCACAAATAAAAGCTTATTGAAAATTGCTCAGTCAACAAAGCAAACTGAAGGAAATTGACCAAAAACTTGAAAACAGCCCAGACTTATTCTGCAAAGCATGGTTGTCATGCTTTCAGTTGTAGGAGCTTTCTAATATATATAGTCAAATTTCCTCAAGCTTAAAGAAAAGGACATAATCTCTTCAAAGCAATCAGGACTGCAGCCCAGAGGGAACTTAAGTTTTGATTCATCTCCTAATAAATGGTCTTCCACCTCAAGCTTTATATAGCAGCTGATTTTTCTAGGCGGCAAGAGAAGAAGAGTGTGAACCGGCCTGTTGAGTCTTAGTTCAGCTGTGTTGTGGCAATGAAGGCAATAAATAACAATTTGCCCTTTATAAATAAGATGCAGGAGAAAGCTTCCTCTATGACTGTAGCAGATGAGACATTAAAGGCTACTGCTGGGGAAACGTGGAAAAAAACGATTTCAGCTTTTATCCCAGCTTAAATTACCGCCGCAACTTGAAACAAAATCTTAGTTGGAATAAAATCTCTTAGTTTCCCAGCAACAAGTATCAAACTGAATATTTATTCTCGAAACTAACTCGACTCATACATTGTCGCTTTACCCATTACCTTCATTAAAAGTTTAGAATCAATAATTCATCATAATTCAAGTGTATCAAATTGGCCAGTGGAATATTGATCAGAGACCACACGATTGGTCAGCTCACTGGTGATGCAAGAGTAAGACTGTGTGAAGAAGAGCACTGAAACTCATAGGCATAATTACAATTACAAACCTTAAGGCAATTTGTAGCCTGAGTAATCTTCATATCCATTAAGCTTCACTGAAGGACATAATGGTGGTAAATGAAGAAGACTATAACTGAATATCATTGTCCGTCTCTAAATGCGTCCAGTATTTATGAGAAATCTACTTTCTGGAGGCAGAAAGTAGTTAGTACACAGTCACTCTAAGTGAGTAATGGATATAAGATCACATATATTATTTAAAAATTTTAACTGCTCACTCATTCACTTTAAGAGAAGTAGGTGTAGACTGTTTGGTGTATTTAAATATACCAAGTTTGAACAACACAGAAACTACATTGGTACTGGCAGGAACTGTGTGCTGCCTTTGACACAAACAAGATTTTCTTCTGCCACTTGAAGAGGGGACAAGCAACAGGTTAATCCTACTACGACTACTTTTCAATTAATCCACAGAAAAGGATAATTTGCAGCTTTAATTCTACCTCATTAATGCAAAACTATGATTATCACTTCCAGGCCTTGAAATAAACACTAATTCCTTTGTGCATTTCAGTATAGATTCACAAATAAAGATGCCAGATGAGAATGGACTGGTTTCTGGAAATAAAGTTTTTACAAAGATGCACAATGGAGCAAGTGCAGCTATTTATTTTCCTGCTCCCTTAAAACCACCAATGATATATGAGCTGCTCGGTTAAAAAGTTTGCATCTAAGTTCCATATAGACATCAAATTAATGGGATTTTTTTTTTTTAGTGGGGCAAAATCTGTGAAAGCAGGAAGGTGGTTGCCAAATAGACATATTTACTGAATTTTCACCATCATTTCATAGCACACTCAGGTGTCCATGTCACTTATCAAGGCTTTGCTGTTTTGAAATCACAGTTGATTTCAAAACAAGCTAATAGCATCAGGTTGGTAAAGCAGCTGACTCACTTTCTGACTGAATTCAACAGATAACCAGTAATGAGTTTGTTATACTGTAAAGTCTTGTCACACTTATTAGCTATTTAGTCTAATAATTGCATTTAAGTAAAAAACAAAAACAAGAAATAACAACAAATGGTATCTATTTAAAATGCAACTACATCATGTCATACATTGCTGTTTTAAAATTATAAGTCAGCAATATTTTGTCGTTTCATAAGATTGCTAAATAGATGAACATGATAAATCTCCCATCACCACAAAAGCCATGTAATTGGGGTCAGAGCAGAACAAAAAGTAATTATACTTTGCTCCACTTCAATAAGACTCTGAGCTTATTTGTAAAGATGCCTCAATCTTGTGTGTGTTATCATAATTAAGCTAAAATCTTAACATCAAGACATGTTTTCAGACAAAAATATCTTTAAGTCAGTTTAAAAATAAAAGTCTATGTATGTAAAATGTATTGATTTGTCCATTGCCAATCTCTCCTTTCTGTTTTCTGAATTTTGCCCTGGCTGAGCTGCAAACATACAGATAGATGTCTCTGTGTACTCTACCTTGATGTCAGTTGCACATCAAAATTTAATGTTTTCCCCCGTTTGCAGAGCATTATAAAATTCCACCTGGTGGCTTTTCTGTTGACAGTGGTTTGTCTTGCTGACAAGCAGACAAACCATTGTCAATGAATTCCTGCACCGCATTCTCTGCCCTAGGCAGAGAAAATTTCATTATTATCACATTACACTGTATTGTGCACAGCAATGGGAATCCAGATAATTATGCATTTCAACGGTTCTCCCTTCAAATAATGAAGTAAGAGATAGAATAAGACAGGGATTTTCAACAAATTGGTTCAAAAAAACAGACTTAACTTGATTTCCTTTAACTTCAATTTGAACGCCACAAAGAATCATTGACATCCTTTCCTATAAACCATTTAAAAATAAGCCATCAATCAAGCTCTCTGCTCATAAAATTTAATCTGGACAAAATGCAATTTGTGGTGAGGGTGACAATGAAATAATAAACACGTTTCCCATAATAGGAGAAGTAGTTTATCTAGAGTACTTTTGCAAACTTTTGCTTTTTAATTAATCACTTAATTTTCACAAAATGTTAAATGAGTAAAGAAACAAAAAACATTTTAGACCAAATGTGCTTCTGGAATCCTGGCAACATGTGCAGAAACATGAAGCGATATGAAGTGCAAACAGTTAAGGTTTACCCAAAAGTAGGATTGTCCTTATTTGATCCTGTGCAGCAGATTAAATGAAAAAAAAATATTAAATGAAATTGATTCATAGGGAATCAAATGCAGTCATCTTTATTTTTCACATTCTAATTCTGGTGTTTGTGCATGTCTTCCAGAAACTTTTATTCTAGATTTTATGGAATAAAGTAATCTGGCTGAGCTGTAAACATACAGATAGATGTCTGTGTACTCTACCTGGCAAAGGTCTATAAGTTTAGGTCTATAAGTCTAGAGGACATGGGTATTTCTAAATAAAATATTATCTTATGTTTAAACAAAGTCCATGTATATCATCAACTTTAAAAAAAATGTTCAGAGACAAACATTTAAATCACTTTGTCAGTATCAGAAACAAATGTTGGACAACCATAACTTGCATTCCACATTCATTTGCAATTCCACTCATTACAAGCGCATCATTTTCTAGAAGTCAAGCTAAACTGTGTGTGCAGTTTGCTTACCACTAGGTCTGGATCCTGCAAGAGGCTTAAGATCACCTCGTAGAGCAAAGGTCGAAGATCAGATTTGAATTTGACGGAGATCCATTGCCCTATTAGCCAGATGACTCGTCTTCGTATCAGTTTGTACCTGGAAAAGGGGAGAATGCCATGAGCTCACTTCTAGTTACAATGAATCAAAAAGATCAATATTTGTGTATGGGATAGTTATAGAAAGTATGGATTTCATAAAATTACATGTACAGAGGTTATTTTAATAATATATAAAGAGAACATAAAAACATTTATTTTGTTGATTTTTTTTTTATAAAAAAGAGCAACCTCACTATACATGTCAGCTATTACGAAAATAGCCTGTTTCATGGCCAACCAAAAGTAATTTTGGATTTGACTGTAAATAACTAATCCACATATAGCAGAAGGAGCTGATTACACATATTAACTACGTATATCACCCTATGGGAAATCCAACACAAAAAGTTAGAAATAAAGTATTGGACAGAAACCTGATGCCAACGGAATATTTCTCTACACATAATATCGTTTAGAAAACAACAAAGAGAATATGGTAATGTAGAAAAGGTTGAAAAAAGTTAATTTATTAACCTGTTTAGTGTTTTAAAACGAAGGCATTACAGTAAGGTAGTAGGAGCCGGAGGGACACTTGCAACAGAAAAAAAACACTGAACAAAGGAAATAACCCTGGAAAACCAGAAGGCTTTAGATGCCCGTCTGGGCCTGGTGTGTGATAGGAATTAGATCACTCTACACTGCATGTCTAGTAGTGATGTTTATTTTTTTCTCAACAGTTGTTTTGGGCGAGTGTCCCAGAGTATCTGCCCTTTTAAATTCTGAAGCAGAAAATGTGTCAAGGGACCACCTCGACAAAAATGATAGGATAGAGGAACGAATTGACTGAAAAATGAGAAGATAACTGATGGGAGATAACACTGTTGTTGGTCTCTTGTCAAATATCGACAGAGTAAAGAAACCAGACACTAGGTTATCCAGGAGAGTCTAAACAGCAGCATGACTCATTGCTCCTAGATAACAAGTGTTTTGAAAGTTCATTGCTGGTTTATGATGGATATGATTAGAAGATTTTTTTTACTTATAAAAACATTTTAAAATCTAAATGTTACAATACCAATCAACAATTATCACCAATAATAAACCAAATACAATTTTGAAATTCCTTTTTATTTCTTTACCAGGATATCCAATAATCTCTACAAAGCAAAATTGTCTTTTTTGTGATGCTGTGACCTCAAAGGACCAAATTTAGAATAACTTAGGAATGTTTTGATCTATTAGTGATGTCATAGACAAGTTAAGGATTTACTCTAAAAGAAAACGGGGGGAAAAAAAAGTTGGATTTATGGTGCATTCTGATTTTATTAATACTAACAGATGTTAAAACTATAGTACTTGTAGAGTGCTTCCATTAATACAAGTCAATATCTTATTTCTGTCCATTCTTTTAAAGCATTTTAGCCTGGCTTTTAGTTGAACATCTCTACTTTAGTTTTATCTTTATGCACATATATTTATTTTACTTGGCGTTTATAAACATTTTCTGTAAATTTATCTTTGTTCCCATTGCATGTCTTACTTTTTATATCAAATAGCTGTCTACTAAACATGTAATTGAATGTACTTTGAAAATTTTTAGAAATGATTGTTCTTAACATGTTGGTTTCTTATTTGAACATCATTTGATGAATGAAATGTTCCACAGAAACACTGTATAGAAATGCAATTAAACTCCAGACTTGCAGTGTACCTTCAAATTTACAACCCAGATGTCTGACTAAAAAGATATTTTTTAAATTTTCTGACTCAATTCAGAAATTATGGTTTTTTAGGCGCTATTACACAAAAGACATGATGTGCCCTCAGCCTTCTGCACTCAATTTTTTACACAATGACAGGTCTTCAAGGCTACATTAAAAAGATTACTGTGCTGTATTTTACATTGATAGTCTTATGTTGAAAATGAGCAATACTTATTGTAGAACCTGCTGCAGCTGTGGAGGCTGCAGTTGGTAATGTTAATTTTAGCACAGTGTGGTGTAATGGAAGCAAAAGAATGGGAAAGTAGACAGAGGTGAGTACCTGACAGGGGTTCTGTCTATCAGTCACAGGTCAGACATGACTCATCTACACCATACTTGTCCTCCCACATAACTTCACAAAGCTGTCAGAATCCCTGCTCATCACTCTGAGGAAACGCATGCACAATCCATGGACAAAATATGAACTAAACAGGAAGAAAAAACCCAATTTCTACATGATCTTAACATAATATGACCTTTCCTTCAGAATATTTTGCTCAGATTTGGAGAATGCACTGGTAGAGAGCAAAAATCCAGCATTACATCAGGATGGTTTTAAGTAAAAAAAAAAAAAAGCATTCTGATTATCAGACTTGCCTGACAATATGGGAATGGAAAACTACTTTTATTAATTCCAATATATGCTTAAGATTAAAAATATGGTCTCAGCACAGAAAATGTTTAGAATATTTACAGTAATGTTTGTGAATTTGAAAAATAACTGACATGTCTGAGTATTTGATTTAATGGGACTTTATTTTCAAGCAGAAAAATAAAAATAAACTGATTTAATTATGTCCTAAGCTGCAAGCCAAAATGTCTACAGAAAATAAAAAAAACTTTTTCAGTCTGGGTCTTTCAACAGATTTGGCTCACTCATTTAAAAACCTATGGAAACTACAGCCGGTGTAACTGAATGAATTTAAAAGGTCAATGTGTTGGGGTTTTTTTCCCCACTCGCTTTCAATTTCATTTTTCCCATTGCAAACATTCGAAACTCAATTACTGTGCTTTATGTTTGCAATAGGAAACAAGAAACAAAAAGTAAGTCAATCCAGTGTCAATTTCTAGATGTAATGAAATGATGAAGAGAACCACTACGGACTAATTTTACAGCATACACTTGTCACCCAGGAGAGCGGCCATCTCTGCCACAAAAAGGTCAAGTTGCAAAAGGCAATGTCAAAATGCTGACAGTAGAATGATGAAACACTCCATCTGTATCCCACAGGCTGTGAAGGTGACACAAAAAGCTCCTTCTTATTACTGTAAAAAGGTCCATGTCAGTTATAGTAAGGTCATGTACATTGTACTGCATATAATGTACAATTGTATACAAATACAATTTTTATTAGATTAGTATGAGATTTTGGTTAAGTATACTTCCCAAGGAGCTTGTGCATTCAGTGTTTTCCCAGATACAACGATCATGATCAGCTATCAGTGTCATACCATGCAAAAGAATCAAACAGGTAAGGCAGTCGTACTGCCTACATCTACGTACTTATTATCTAAGATTTAATGTTCATAAAGAAACTCAAACAGTTTCTGCTTTTACTGATTGGTTGTGAATCTTGACAGTGTGGCACTTTTGCAGAAGGTAATTTACCTTTGGGAGATATATAATAATGCAATGAAAAGGCATCCAGGGATTATCCTTTACATACCAACAAAGATTTGTCCACAAATGTAAATTATAAATGGCTCTATATGTAGCTTTACAATAAAAATTACATTGACAGCTGATGGCGTTTTGAACTGCACTTGTAGTCACCTCTACATGTAAACACAAACCTGTGAAAATATGTCACAGTCTTTCGTCTGTTTCTTAATTGGGCAGGAAAGCCAACAAGCCCATGACTCATTTCTCCACAAAGCTGCAGAGAAAGAGTGAAGGTCATATAGCCACTTATTTAAATGCCATCACCTTCATCAAATTGCCAAAACACTGTTTTGCATCACCTTTAAATTTTACTACCTCTGCAATTCTGGTAGCTTATTAGAAAAAGGCTCAGTAAAATTATCAGTTTGGCCTGGAACCCAAGACTTGCTTTAGTGCAAAATACAGCAGTTTAGGCGGAATGGACTTCATAAAAGAAGCTCTTCTTCATTCAATGTCAAAACAGTGAACTGACCTGAGTTTTTATATTTATTGATTGTCGATGGTGATAGGTGAGGACAAGAAAGATCAACAAATATCACAAAAATGTCCCATGAATTGATTCACAACTGGACGTGATGAGAAGAATACAAATCAATAGGGCTTCAAGGATATCCTTGGCCAAGGACACAGAATCACACCTGTCATAAGCGAAATGTGAGCAGAGACGAATTTGGCTCCACAAACTTTGCAGGAGCAGAAGTTTGGTCCAAATCAATGCAACATTAAAACTAAATTTTCTACTTCAGATGTTTACATTCTACTGTTGTGTGATGTGAATATGAAAAAAAAATGTGAAGATCACAACAAACATGTTGTAATAAAGCCTCTAACAGCCATCACCCAACGGGCCAAGAACAGCAGACAGCAGAGCAGCTGGGATTGTTCTGCTAAGAGCAACAAATGTGCACCAGGCAAGCGAGGCGGCCAAAAAGGAAAAAAAAAAGGAAAAGAAAAATCTGCTTTGAGTGTGGCTTCTGAAAAAGACAAAAAAGCTATTGTTATTCTGCTTCTCATGAAATTTTCCAAAGTTGGGTATATATTTCAGCCATGAAGCTGCTCCCATTTATTAGCCATTACTAATATCACAACAGAAAGAGGAAGTCAGTACTGATGAATTACTTGCATAAAATATTCAGGCTGGAGTGGGAAGAACAACAAGATATATTAATCTGCATGTAGTGGAAAACAATGAGTTCAATAACATTTCTACAGACAAAAAAAAGTATGGAGGAAGAACTTTTAGTTTAAAGATAGCTTTCCTTTGATTTGTCCTCCACAACAAGGTGAAGCATAACACAAAATGCAAAAAATTAACAATGGAGTAAAACCTGATACTTGTGCCACTGAATGCGGCTCAATAACATTATTAGTCTTGTGCATCTGTACACCTCTGCTATGCAACTCACTTCCATCACATAATTTGATCAGCAGGTAAGCACAACTCCGGTACACCACTGCTACCAATGATTTGAGCATCTTTCTGCAATGTCTTTTAAAATACATTGTGTGTCATACAGTTGTGGTAGAAGATACAGTTCTGGACCACAGTTTCCTCCGACCACATGTTGAGGTGCCCCTGGGAGAAGAACTTAGATCCAAGTTGCCTACCAATCATCATAATGGGTGCATAAATCGGTGCACAAGTGAGTGAGTGAAGTGCATTGAGTGATCAGTGTGACTAGAACAGCACTATATAAACTAAGAAGTAATTGTGGGCTCTGACTACTGTGTAGAAAGAGACATGTAGTCATAATCCTACAATCTATTACTAAAAATAGTCAGAATGGGTTTTAAGCTATTTGTTATTGCAAGTATATTGCCTGGTCTTACAAGCAATCCATTTTTGTAAAATGCATACACCTTAAGCACTAATTCTTAGAGTGTAAGAATTTTTCCATTTTCACTAGGAACTACTTTTCGAAAACTGTATGAGATGAGAATTATTTGAACAAATTGATGACCACAAATTTATCTAACATCTGGTTGAAAGTTAATTAAATATACACAACTTAAATGTACTGCTCCACACACAGCTATTGGAGATCATGATCAATAAATAAATTGAACTTTTTATTGAGTCATCTGAAAATATTTAAAGTATACTATACCCTTTATAAGGAGCTGAAATACAAATATGAATAAATTGTGCACCAACACTGAAAATATGTGCAGTTAGAGGAAGGTACATGAAGGTGAGGCTTAAACATACATATGCAACAGAAAATGCTAAGTTTCTGATTACAATCAGAAATCAAGGTTCTCTTGTGACGGAGCTCATCAAACACGCCACTGTTTAACATTCATGTTGTAAAACTGATAAATAGCCAAATATAGCAGTTCTCAACACTGAAATCAAAAGGTGTTTAAGGGGAAAAAATGTGGCAGTCTTGATAAAAATAAAAAAAAAAGAAAAGAAACTCACTTCCATAACATAAAAATATTTTGGTCTTGTGAAATAATTTCTACAAGAGTCGTGCCCCGTTGTCAATAGCAATGACATGAAACTGCAAACATAAACAGTTTTCACAGCAAGTAACAAAACAAAGTTTAAATCTAAACTTGTCTTTCCTTTAATCACCAATTAGTGTGTTTGCTTTGGTAAATATGCAACTCCATTGGCTAATGAGATTAGAAGGTTAAAGAGGTCAAAGCTAAAGTTATCATAAGACAACTTTTTTTGAGTACATGCACTTTTAATTTATACTCCCCTTTAATTGGGAAAAGGCTGTCCATTTAAGCCCAACTGTTTATTCCCATTAATGTGGACCACTAACCAACATGCTTTCATTTGTACAGAACTGACCAGAAAATCTGAAAAAAAGATTTAAGCAATTTGGGCATAACCAAGAAATTTGTGATTAAAAATAATAAATCTGATGTAGTACATGCTGTAGTGATATCAAGCACTACAACATGAAATGCTCCACTTTTTGAGAAGGATATACTATCCAACAAAATAGTGTTGAAAATGTTCTCTTGTATCATGGCATCCTGTTATACCAATGTAGTCTGAATATAGCAGATGTTGCTATAAAATGGTATCTGATAAGTATAAAGTTAATAGTCTGAGTGAAGTCAGTACAACAGAGTTCCTCAACAATGGAGCAATGGCAAGAGATGGTTCAAAGAATACATGAATGCACTGGAAAAACTGACATATTGTTTAAATCTGTATTACAGACAAAGAAAAAGTGGGTGAAACGAATAATATTCAAGTATCAAAACAGTGATAAGAGAACAGAAGACAAAACAGAGAAAGAAAATTTTTGGGAAAATGCAGAAGCCCCTCCAGAGTGTCTCCGGTGCGATGTGTGAGTTACTGGAAGAGAAAACTCACTGAACAAACTCAAACCAGAGCTTTAGAAAAATAAAATTAATTAAAACAAAAAAAAACACCAAACGAAGCAACTTATTTGGCATAGCCTTGAAACACAAATCATTTTTTTCCAAGTGCAAACTTTTCCCTTTTCCAGTTTCCACTTCAAACAGTTGCTTTCCTCTTAAATCAAACAATGTTTGCTAATGAGCTTGATTGTTTTTGTCCACACATGGCATCAAAAAAATAAAGGAGGTGGAGGTGAACCTTCAGAGAGAAGAAAGAAATAGGGACATGTGTAAAAAGTCAAGGGTTTGTTCACACCTGGACAGCGTGGGTGACATCAACATCCCTGCTCTCTGACGTCAACACTAACCAGAGTGAACGACCTTCCAAGTGCTCTAGGCTTTTTGTTTTGTTTATTTTGGGTGCCGAGAGTGAAGGGCACTTCTTTGTTCATGATTTCAAACACACCACCATGCCTTTTGCTGCTCCTTCTCTCATTTTCTTCAAATAAATTCATCAAGCAGCTCTCTGTGGATCCTTAAATCCATACTTATAGCTGCTCTCCATAGCCCTCTTCCAATTTCAAGTTACAAGACCCTTCAAAACACTTAAGTCACCAAGTTCTTTTCAATACATACATTTCCCAAACAATTTGTTCTTTTGCTAATTTATACACCATAACTATCATAAAATGTGAAAGAAATGTGGGAAATACATTTATTAAGGTCTCCTGGGAATTTAACAGGGGTGCATTGACTTCTCACAATCCAATTAATAAATCCATTTTTATCTCACCTGCCTGAGTGAGTTGAGCTTGTTCTGATGCATGCAGTCACTACTTGCACCGAGCCATTTAAAAGGAAAAATATGCAGTCATTAATATTAACTTGACAGCAGCTGAATTTTAGCTTGTTACTTATGCGCTTTTGGCATGCCTTCAGTGTGTTACTGGCTACAATCAGTGGCTGTAAAAGGTTAACAGTTAATTAACATGAGCTACCCTTAAAGTTAAATTTGTAACAAATCAGATATCGGCAACAAAAAATAAAAATTAAATGAGAGAAACTAATCTAAAGAACCAAATAAAAAATGCTTAGCTGTTTCAGGTTTCATTTTTGACACAAACATGAATATCACAAAAAAGACAAATAAATGTTTCAGTAAGAGAGGCAACCACAAAATATGTAGAAAGTACATATTTCAGGAGGAAATTATTTACCCACTTTTCATCTTTTATACATATACAGAATAATAGTTCAGGTTGTTAACAATTGTTCTCAAAAAATACCTGTGATGGCTGACTTGCAGCTCTCCAAGAAGCTGATTCTTGAACCACTGGTCAAAGTCCACATTGTCAAACAGTTCATAGGCTGCCAGCCCCACTGCATTGTAAACTGAAATGAAACAGAAAATTGTGTTACGTCAAACGGTCACTTCCAACCATGCAGCAAAAGACAACATTGTCAAAATGTACTGAAATCCATTAGAATCAAGAGCATTGACTTTCATCAGTTACTCATTGTAGAAAGAAAAGGAATGGGGGAGGACAACAAACATAGATGGATCAAAAAAACAAAGACCACCACGCATTTTGAACAATTTTGTCTAAATAAGACACTTGTACTTATTTTACATTTAGTCACTGATAACATCCTAGCTGATAACTAAGCCTGATTGTGTTTCATAAGTGACCAAAAAAATTAAAATAAATATCTTAAAATATCAGAATATGTATAAAATAATACATCAAATTATATAGACTGGCCACAAACTATAACACAAATTATAATATTTTCATTAAGCTATTTAGAAGTATCTGCAGCATTTACAACTATTATTGAGAAAAAAGAATCATTTTAGCTGCATCTGCACTTTAAAATTTTACAATGTACTAATCTGCACCATCCATCTTTTTTGGACAGCTAAATCCAACACTGTGCATTGCTTTGACTTAGCACCATGTCTTCTCCCAGTTTAATTTGCCCTGGAGATGCTTTAAAATTAATTTCTGGTCCACAGATTAACATTATTTTGACTACATAGGATGAGATGTTGAAAACATTTGCATTTATAGTGGTTCAAAAGTAAGCATCTCAGGTGGCTAATGGTCTGCTCCTCTACACTTGCTCACTTCTAATGAACATTATTTTGGGGAGTGGAAGGTAACTCTGCCCAAGTGGCCTTTAAAAATGACAAATTAGAAGGCTAATATAAGTTATGCACGGTCCCTGTGCATAACTTATATTAGTTATCACAAATTAACAATCACAAATTAAAAATGACAACACATATCATCCCATACTGTAGGAATTGAATTAACATTTGCTGCAATGTGAGCAGACCTCTAAAGACTACACCAATTATAGGAAATAATACATATTTACAAACCAGATAAGGATGCCTTGTGCTTGCAGGAAAAAGCTAAATAAGTACTAGACATGGGCTTCAAAACATTATGTAATCTCTTTTGTGATCGATGCAACAAAATTTACACACCAGCTTTCCTACTTGTAACTGCCATCAGAATACAGTCTCACAGAAATCAAAGTAGAATAAACTGCATCTTGCAAAAAAGGATATTTACACTCCTTGAGGTTTTTCACATTTTCTCAAGAAACATAAATGTACTTTATTGGAATATAATTTGACAGACCAACAGGAAGTAGTGCACAATTGTGGAAGTTTAAAAAAAACAGAAGTTTGAATGACATGGCTTGGGTTTGTATAAAAACTCCTTCAGTTTGATAACTAAATAAAAATTGCTGCAACAGATTGGCATCTAATGTTTAGACTCGTACTAAACAGAGATGTTCTGCGAATGTCTCAAGAGGTTTGTTAGTGAACATTAGTAAACGAACAGCTTCATAAAGTTTGAGGAACACAGCAGACAGCTGTATATTAAGGGTATGAACCAATCAATAGGTTTATAGAAAAGCTACTTTCCAAGTTATTGTGGTCCACAAATTCACTGATGTAATCCCATTGCAAAATATTCTGTATTTTTCAACTTCATTCTACATCCTTGTTGAAAGTAAATAAGTCAGTCCTCTTTGAGTGCATGAATAGTTCTCAAACTACCGCTTGCATAGTTTCATCATCTTATTCGGTATTTACCATTTCACCTAAACTGTCAGGGTATTGTCTAAAACTATCTATATAACAGAGACACTCTGTAGAAACTTGCATGTTTTTTGACATAATTTTCAATAAGTGGCAGTTCTGGGTTTACATTCCAAAATAAGCAGGAACAAAACGTCAAGAAAAAAAAGTTATAAGGTTGACAGTCAGTGCTAGTATAAATATGGATTGGTTTGAAGAAGTCTTTTATTCCCAACAGTAAGAACTGCAAAAGGTTTATCACATTTAAGATGAAAACATTGACTTTAAAATATTCAGGCTCAATATTCTTTTGCCAAACCATTACCAATTCTTGAAGAAAATCAGTAGACCTTTAACTAACCTGCATCCTTCATCAGCAACTGAACAGGGTCCTCCACATTTGTTGGGCCTGAAGAGACACAATAAACCTTTATATAAAAATGGCAGTTTAGAGGAAAAAGTTCTGCTAAAACATTGTAAAATGGCAACAAAATATTCTGCCAGGTGTAATTTATGCTGTGCCATGTATCATATTAAACTTAAAAGCATTAAATCCATATTATTCAAGTCAACTTATCAGCATGTTCTCTCTATGTCCATTTTTCCCCATTAAGTTTGCAAATAAATAAATGTTGTTTTTTTTGTTTATTTGTTTGTTTTCTCACTTCAGGAGAACCTGTTTCCACTGCATTTTAGGGGGAGACCATCTTTAGACAGAGGAAGCAGACTTCTGTGAAAAACCAATGTGAGTAAATCCTATGCTACCTCAGAAACAGGATAAGGGTGAGATGCCACTTCCCCCAGGAGACCAGCAGCAGTGTCTGGTTTGTTGAATGACTAACAAACCAGAGAGCTGAAGCCAGGTGTTATGCTGATAATCACCTGGGAACCTCACAGTCCTACAGATTGCATGTCTCAGATACAGGGACCACCCACGACATGTGTTTGGTCATTTTTTTATGTACAATAAGTCACCAAAACAACAAGACATGAACATGAAATAAGCAATTTGGAACTGAATTTATGTGGAGGAACACAGCATTGGTAAATAAAGGCAATTGTTTGTTGCACATTACAGAAATAAACTATATTGTTATGCAATTGATAAACCTTTAGAGCTGTTTTTAATTATGTTGTTTATTCTAATTCATTTATTCAGTTACTTGTAATTTTTCTGACAATGCTTCCATATACTACACAACACAAAATGAAATGAAACATGATGCATATAAACACAGAATTGCAGCCCAGGGACTCCTCTCACACAAAGCAAGTAAACAAATGTAAATATTCCTGATCCAAATGAACCGTGATGCTCAATATCAACAACATAGATGAGAAGCAGTGGTTAAATTTTTTAAAGCTGAACTTTTCGGTTGTTATACAAATTACTGGAAAAGCAGACCAAATTTGTGCCATTAATAGAAGTCTATGCTGTGTTGATTAAACAATATTGATTAAACATTGCACTGACCCTGCAGATTCTGAACCATATCCAGGAGTACTGGTGTCAGGGTCTGGCTGTAGTTGTGGAAGATTTCCAGAAAAAGTACCTCTGTACAAGGCTAAATGAAAAAAGAGGAAAAGTTATTAAGCAGTTATTAATCCCAACATCTTCTATGCTAACACAGCTTACTGTTATTTTGTAGGTTTCTTATATATCTACTGAAAACAAAATGAAATGCAGCAAATCCTCAAATGTTTTCTGAGAATTCAATTAAAACACCAGTAAATCTTTTATCCCCCTACTGGCACCTGACAACTTGCTCAGATTATTTTCACAGCAACATGGCGACCTAAAAAATTCTAATTAAAATATAACTGAATTTTACAGCTATATTTAAGCACCTCTACTCTTGTGCTGCAAGTGAGAGCTAATGGCAATACTAAGTACACAAAGTTTGCAACCAAATGCAAAATAAACTAGTAAATTAGAAGAATTGGACATAAAAATGTGTGTTTTTCAACTATTTTGGTGTAAGAACTTTTTCTCAAGCCTAATTTCTGCTGCTTCTTCAGCAAACCAAAAGATGTGCTTTGTGTTGTATAAAGTACCTTTCATGAATACAGTAAAGCTCAAAAGACTGAACAGACATGGGTTCCTTTATGTATAAAGGAAGAGTATTCATTCAGCAAAATGCAGCAGAACGGTAGGGAAGAGCACTGCAGGTCGGTGAGCGGATAAACTGAACACAGCAGTTGGCTGAAAATTAGATGATTAACGTAAGTGTAGCTTTACGGGCAAACCAGAAAATGTATTTCATATCATCCAGGTCTCAACAAATGGGTGGCGGAGCTCATTGTGGCAGGAAGTAGCTGGTAGATGAGTTTCTGTATGTGACAAACAAAGGTGTCGAATTCCGTCGCCAACATGAACACAAAAGCTACAAATGTCTGGGCAAGGTAAGAGTTCATCGATTAAACTGACTGAAGATGAATGCATTAACGACATTTTTCATAAGCGTATTTGTGAGCCTGCCTCTTTATTATTGAATTGATTATAATTTCAGATATTTGTACAACTTCTCTTCAGGTTAAATTAGAAAGCGAGCTATTCTTGTTACAGGTTAATTTTTTAAACTACTGAAGTTTTTGTGAGGGAAGCTCAAATGTGAAAAGTTGGACTGATGTTGATAATGCCAGATTTACCAATGTTTTATTTGATCTTTTTTCTTTATCTGATTACTCAATTAATCGTAAAAATAATCAATTACCAAAATATTCGTTTACAACAGCCCTAATAATATATATATATATCTATTTGCCATTCAATGAATATTCTGCTTGACATAATTAACAAAACATCAGTACATCTGTATAAACTTACCCGTAGACTGTACTTCCATGAATCACCACCAGTTTCTTCAACAGCTATAAAGATGATAAAAATGTGTATATATTAAAACTTCCTCATGTAGACTATATCTATTAGACAGCAGAAATATGGTTTTGCTGCTTGATAACTCAAAAGCCTTGTGCGTTTCAAGATTTGTCCAGTTCTATCACATAAAAAACAAACCACTTTATGATACCAAGCATTTGAGGTCTCAAATTTGCAGGTGTACAAATGATCAGACTAGTAAGAGGGTTGTGTGCTTTAACACAAAGAAACTGTAGAGTCACGATCTTTAACCTCGTTATTTCACTGCAAGTGTCTCAAAATGCAAAACGAGTATTTTAAAATGCCAAGGAATAACACTTTAAATAAAAAAAGTTCTCCAGCCAAAGGTTCAGCTTTATGCTGGTTCAGTTTTCAGTCCATCAGTTCCAGTAACAGGTTTAGGAGTTTCCAGCTGTCACAACTCATACCTCTAAATTTATTGAGTTCTATAAAGTCTCCATATAGATCTATTCAGTTTTTATAGATGTATTGTTTCAAACGCCAGTTCTTTCAATATTTAATACAATAAGACACTTTCCAGAAATGTTTAAATAAAGTTTGATCTGACGACTGTATCAACAAATGATAAACATTAACCTAGCCAATCCCAAAAAGGTCTAGGTACCTCAGATGTTTAGATTAATATTTTTAGGGGTGTAAGAAACCCACCAAAGCTCTCCGGGTCCTCCTCCCACATTGCCAATTCTTCTTCTGTGAGGAGAAAATAGTGTGAGACAAGTCGGCGCCCGATCTCTGTCAGCGTGGGGTGAGTGAAGAAGGCTGTCTTGATCTTGTGAGCCTCTAGACTTTCTGGTTTACTCTCTAGCGAAGAGAAAGAGAAGAACTAAGAACAAGAATCATAAAAATGTATTCATGTTGACATAATATAATGCATAAACTGTACTAACATAATCCAACACATGTTTCCTTTCTGTTGTTACATTTTCAAGCACATTATCAGATTTAAATTACTTCACAACGCAATAAAAACAGCAAGTATCCATTTCATAATTGTCCATTTTAGGCAGGAGAGGCGAGGGAGAAGTCAGTGCTATAAATAAATTGTTTGCTTTCAAATTTGTCATTTTGAAAATAATGTATTCATGTTGAATGTTAGAAAAAAGATGTGAATTAAAGCTAAAACATATTCACTTCATGAAAAGGTATCTTCATAATCGTGTTTATTAAGATTCTGTTGCATAGTTTCTACATAGTTTTAATTCCAAATTTGCATACTTTTTAAAAATTTATCATTTAAATGTATTTGTTGCTGGAGGAAACTAAGTAGAGTCTTGCCAAAACAACTTTGTAAGGCTCCATTCATGTCTTTCCTTTTGGAAGAACATAAGTTTCTGTGAATATATCTTAAGTTGGTAAATCTAGGTTGATCCTAGAAAACTAATGGAAAAAAAAAAGTCTTGCAAAACCAGAGCAATGGACATAATTCATGAATTCAATGTTATGAAAAAAATCCCAGGTCACTTCCAACTCAAAGTGTGATTTGTTGAAGCTTAAAAAGCTTCAACAAATCCCCCTATTTTTTATTCTTGACATCTCAGTAATTTAAAAAAAAAATGAATTAAAAAAGAGGGTTTAGATGCCAAAAAAGAAGCAAAGAGATGTGTTTCTTTGTGCACCTTGCAAATAAAGGCTTGTTTTATAACTCAACTCACCATCAATATTCTTGGCAGGTTTGTATGCATCGTTCTTTACTATCATCTTGATGAGGTTCATGCACTGAACAATAAAGCGCTCGAAGGTCACTCCCTCCCCAGCAGGTGTGAAAACGTAGGTAACGGCAAACTCCAGGGAGCGCTGGATCAGGGGAATGAATGCACACGCATGGTCCTCCAAGAAATCTAACAACTGTAAAGCAACAAGAAAAGCAAAGTATGACACGCAGAACCGTGAAACATTTTCTAATTCCAGTTAGAACCACCCATGGTTTATCATCTATTTAAGTTCGGCTTACTTACAACTTTAGTATACAGTATTATTGTCTTTTCCAGCTTTTCTCTGCATGGGCTCTCTGAACCAACCTGCCGACCTGAAGTCAAAAACAAAGGAAACATACATACAGAGTTGTTTCACTCAAAACAAAATACTTCTCACTTAAAATTATTTAAGCTGAACTCTAAAATGTCAGGCGTATCATCCTTGATACATGCCTTTAAGAAAATAATTATTGAATTAATCTGGACTATTAGCAACAACTTGTAAAATATGATCAAATAATGATACAAAAAATATTAAAATCCTGGTTAATGGGGTTCACATTTGTTGATTAATTAGTAGACTAACAAGTTTATTAATTTATTATTATTTGTTAAAGGGGGTTAAAGACCTATTTGATAATGACAATACAGATTGTAATTTATTTGTAAGGAAATATTAGTAAAAACCTACTCTACTTTGGAAATTTAAACAAAAATGTTCAATTTAACAACAATTAAGCAATAAATACAACCTGAAGCATGTCAGAATTTGAGTTGAAACCACTGACATCAACACCTTAATTAAAACAAGTCTGTAATGAAGTGTGGATTAGTATTAACAGCAGCCTTTATCACACACACTGTAATAGTGTGTGTAAGAAAGAGGAAAGAGGGAATGATCAGAAGAAATCAAGATATTAATTTAGTTTTGAAGTAGCTAATAAATACCAGTTCGTCTTGGTTTTTTCAGTTACTTTTGTGCTCATTGGTCTATCCAGTGAAGAATGATAATTACATTTTAATATAAACTGCCAACACAATATGAACTGACTCCTAAGACCGTCTCTGTAGGATTCTTCATATCATTGTGAACTGTGAACTGTTCGCTATGTTTAATTTGATTTATTATATAATCTATCAGGCTCCTCACTGGTGACACCGTATTATCGCTAGCTGGCTCTCAGAATGCTTTGTTAGCTTCTTCCTGATTTTTGTCCAAATCCTGCATTATGTAAATCAATACACTATTGTATTGTATCGACTTTGTGCCTGTGCAGTTTTAACTCCATTTGCAGGTGTGACAGGCAGCAACGTTAGCAGACGTGATGCAAAGTCATCAAAGTCACAGCGGTCACACTCTGAGCCATCCAAATCGACCAATCAAAACAGAAATAGATGACAAAAGAAAGAAAGGGGATTCTTTATTTCTGACAGATGCAGAGCTTTATAAAATAGCTTTTAACAAAAAAAGTGACAGATGAAAAGGGACAGGTGATCTCAGTGGAAGACAAACATCTTAAAAAGAGAGACCCAGACATCTGAATGGACGACAAAGACTGTCCCAAAAAAAAAAAAAAAACACCATTTATATAGCTGACCTTATCACACTGAACACAGCTGATATTTCTTGCTGATCCAGGCTTGGAGCTTCCCTGTCGTTCTTCCTATCTGCAGAATCCAAATACCAACTGGGCCCTGAACCTGCCTCCACTGCCATCAGAACAGTATTTATTGGATGTTCTCGTTCATATCGTAAATCTTTTTTTCTGTTCCTTTAGCTACATTTTAAGCACAAACTGGAGGTTAAACTTCAACGAGAAAGACGTATTGCTGATAAAGAGATCAACGCTAAAAGTGAATTCAAATTACTCGTCAAACATAAGAATCACCTTGATTTCAACAAGAGAAATTTTTATATCAATTCAATTTGACGTTTTTCATGAAGTGGAAACAGAGTTCTTTGTTCATGAGGTGCTTTTAATTAGTATGTAGCACATTCAAATAAATGTAACATTGAACCCTGTTCAGAATTAATCTATTGTTTAAACCAGAAATCAGAGACCTATCATACGTTTACTCCTCACTTTCCATGAAGATATGTGTAAAGCATGAATAAAATAAAGCAGAACTTTGTTTCTCCAACTACATTACTATGACTAATGCACAGTGAACCTTTAAAGGTGGATTTTAGCAATCCTGAAGTCTAGACTACTTTGTTTGGCAACATATCTATGTTTCCCACAATGAGAATTTAAAGAAGTATAAAACTTGTAACTCATAATAGTTGGTTTTAGAAAATACCCTAAAGTTAGTAAAAAATATATAAATAAATAAAAATGTTTAAGAATGCCTTGTGAAACATATACGATTACAGCTCTGTAGGGCTTGAAAAAGAGTTACATTTTTAATGTTTCCCCTTTAAAACAATATAAGCACAAAATGCATATTGTAATGGGTATTTTATGAGTAGTACTATTTAAAGTATGCAGTGAAAGAAAAAGGATACATAACTTTTACTTTCCACAAATGAAAATGTGAAATGTGTGACATGCATGTATATTCAATGCCTGTAGTCTGACACCAATGGCTTCAAAGTAAATTTAATTAGTAGAATTCACATAATAATGAGATTTAAAGTCATGTAATTTAATCTCTTTATACAGTTAAACCCAAAAATATGCATAGCTCTGACAAATTCTGCTTTAAAATAATCTTGATTATGATTTTCTTAACATGTGTTTAAACATTTTCCAGTGGCCCTGCCATGACCCGATTATCTAACATAAAATCTGTGAAGATAGCTAAAACTTATGGTGGTGATGATACGTGTCCATAAGGCAGCAAAGACTAGAGGTTTAAGATAAATTATCAAAATATCAGTGGAAACAGGCAGAAAACTCTGAAGCAATTATAAGTTGGGTTTTACTGCTGTAAAGGCAACAAATATATTATCAAGGCCTGAATAATTTGACATGATTTTTTTTTTATGGAATGTATTTAAAAACCTTTTTTTTAATTGAACTGTGAGAGACACTGGCCTCATTTCCACTCGAGACAAATTTTCTTGGTTGAATGACCATTTTAAATCTAAATTTACCAGGCAAATGAATAGCTTTTGTGCTCAACTGTACATGAAGACACATCTTTAAGCTAGAAATCATGTAAACTAAAACATCTCTAACTGTCTCGTTTCATTTGAACTTTTAAGTTGACACCAATAATATGCAGACTACAGATTTATAAGAATCCAACTGGATGTCAAACCATTTTAAGCAACCCTTTTGCATTCGCTAGAAGAAATGCAAAGTGTTTGTTTACTGAAAGGAAAGGATCAAAGATTCAAGTCAGAAAAAGAGGAAAGTACTCACTGCATTCCAAGAACTGTTTTAGCCTTTCAAACACTGCATTCAGGAAACCCTGAAAAGGAAGAAATGAAGACAGACTGAGATAAGTTTCGTCAATTCTGCAGCTGAATTATGATCGCTAAACATGTAACGCAGGGAAGTAGATATAGTATACTTAAACTGTGTGTGTGTGTGAGCGCACGCGTGGGCACAATTGCTTCTCTGCCTATGAACATAAATAAAATCTGAGCTTCACAGTATGAAAGAGAATCAATTTTATGTAGCCTGCTGTTGTAGTAGCTTAGCATGAGAAATTAGATGATAGATCGAGGGACTCTCTCTTTAATTCGGCATTAATGTTCAGCCACGAGGTCAATAGCAGAGTCATTAATCACACATCCCGAACCCCATTTAAGCCAGTAACTAAAGTTCCTAACACTGTTAATGTAGGAGAGGAAGGATCACAGCTACAGCACAAATGACTTGGGGGAGATGATAGAAAGCAGAGATTACAACAGCCATTAGTAATGATTCTGTAGGGATTTTCAATAAGTCAAAGAAGCAAGACAGAAAAATTCTGCAGGTTAAAAGTGAAACTCACTCGGGAGTAAAAGTCAATCAGAGTAAAATTTGGATTTGTTGATGGTTCTCCATAATGTTCCTCGATTGACATTGTGGCAGGTTATCAGTGATAGGACTGGTGGTTATAGTGGTGAGAACAAAGAACTGGTGCTAAGCTAATGCCTGCACTGGTAAAACACTAAAATCCAGATAGGATGAAAAACAGCAAGAAAATTAATAGTAAAACATGCTACAAATTGCTAAATTTATTACAAACAACTACGGTGTTATTATTGCAAATATATGCTTCGATAGTTTCCATTTTAGGCTTCTAGTAAGGACCGTAATATTATAAAAAATAATCACAATTTGGTCAGAGGTGAAATCACAAAGAATATTTTTACACAGCATTTAAGCAATATGAACAAAATAAGAGCAGCAAAATTGTTTGAGTAATCTTTTTATGTTGATTAGTGTTTTTTAGGTCTTTTGGAGAAGAAAATTCAATTAAGAAAATGTGATTAACTGCACAGGCCAAGCTTTAATTAACATGCCTATTTAGGAGCAAAGCATGTTTTTTGTTTGATATATTTTTGTTTCAATATTTTAGTGCTTGTTTAAAAATCAAGCATTGATAACTCATTTAAAAGTCTTAAAAAGAACTTGTCCTGGTGCTTTACCGATTTAGCTTGCGTTAAAACGGTCTGATTATTTGCAGTAATTTTTTCCGCCGTGTGGTTTTCTATCAATGCTTTTACTACTGTGATTGGAAAACAGCCTTCGGTTGTCTGAAATGATTATGTCATGTGTGAAGACTCCTCTTACAAAAAGCGTAATAGTGGAGACTCAAGAGTAAACAGGAAAGAGGAAACAGTGCCAAACAAAAGCTGATGGCTGCACTGCTTGTAGTTTAGAAGACTTCAATTTGAGCGCTCTGCACACTAAACAAATCTATTCTGCACAATAAATGAAGGGCTGTGTATGGTTGAGGGAGGCTAACTAGTTAGTAGTGATTGTGTTCCAAAGGAAATCACAGTTGTACAACCCCCCAAAAAATTCTGAATAAAAAGTAAACACTCAAAACTTCAGCCAAACAAAATTTAAGGTTTCATTTCTAATGTCAATTTGGAGAGGAAAAAGCTTGGGAGAACAAGACAAAGAGAGAGTCCAAGTTTTCAAGATCATTTAAGATCTTTAAGGAACATTTAAGGCATTTAAGAAACTTCTGTTTCTTAAACTTCTGTTTACTCTAAGAACAATAGAGCATAAGGTTTTTATCAATATTTAATGACTGAATAGCTCTGATTGTTTTTTTTTTTTGTCGAAAACAGGACAGATGACTCCATAGGCTACTTAGAACTGCTTGTTTTAAACCAAATTAAGCTTCAGGTAAAATCTTTGAGATTTCGATTTAACAACTTCACAATGTATGACACCGTACACATAAAAACTAAAGTAAAAAAAGTATCTTACAATTCCTTGCCTCTTTCAGTAAACATTAATCATTCTAGCTTCAATTATTCAATCACAGAAACAAAAATGAAAAGGCAATTTTTGGAGTTGGAGTTGAAAGCACAGCTATTTTTTCTGACAAATTCATTAACTCACAGCTCTGAGGAAAACTGAAGCACATTCTGAGGATTATTTTAAACCAGATTTAAACTAAAATGAATTAACAATTTAATGGAGTGGAACTTTCTTCCCACTGAGAGTGGGTGAAGAGCAAAAACCAGACGCCTGACTATTTAAGTCAAAACAAGGCTAAAGGCACTTTCAATTATCATAACCCATTCATATTTTGTACAGTTTGATTGGAGATATTTTTAACTCAGAACATTTACAGAAAATGTAAGCTTCAGAAAAATGAGAGGTTCTAAAGCATATAGACTGAAAAAACTCGCAGCTCACCATTACTTCCATATTCTGTTGGGGATCCTGAAATCCATGCACTGTCAGTTTGCGAAGTACTAAAAAATTTGGACAAGAAAAAAAAAAATTAGTATGCAGCACTATCAACAATTATAAATTAGGCTAGCAAGCATCACCTCCTTTATAGTGTTTCAAAAACTAGCTAAATACATTATGTAACTTAGTTCACAACATTAGTTTAATCAATGTAAATAAAATTACATGATACATATGGCTCAATGACTCAAAATGTTATCTTATTGTTTGCCAATATATTACTGTCACCTCTTCGGGAACGCAGTTAAGGGCAACACACTTAAAAAAAAGGATTTAACCCTCTACAGATTTCCTTTTCCACTGCACTGTGATGATTAAATGATTGAAAGTAACTAAATTTTAACCTGAGTAAATATAGGAAGCAAATGATTTGACTTATCATAAAAGAAGCAATCTGAACCAACTCAACCATAGATGAAAAAGTATTTGTCCTCCAAGCTATACACTGATTGTATCACCCATGGCAGTAATAGCCATTATCAAAGTTTGAGTAGCTGAATGGTGTTAATTCGGCCACACTGGACAGTTTTCCAGCAACAGCAGCCTGTTTAAAGTCATGCCACAGTTCAGTGTGTTATTCTAAACCAGTGTTTCTTAATTCCAGTCCTCAGGGACCACTGCCTTGCATATTTCACATGTGGCTCTGTTCCAGAACACCTGATTCCAATGATTGCATGACCTTCTCTGCAGGCATCAAGTGCTGCTGAAGCCTGTTAATCACCCACTGATTCAAGTCGGGTGTGCGGCAGAAGGGAATCAGCTAAAACATGCAGGGCTGTGGTCCCTGAGGACTGGAATTGAGAAATTCTGTTAGAAACCATTCGGAGGTGGACACGCTGGTGTACTGTACACCACTCATTGTCCGATCAATTACAACAAGCTGGTTGGAAGAGAAGAAGCAAAGAAGCCCCAGAACATCACTCTGACACCACCATTAGGACCGTCACAGTGACAAATTTTGCTGGACAACAAATGGTCCCAGAAGTTATTGTGATAGATTATTACATTGTTTTGTTATTATTTTCAAGTAATATACACTCCTGATCAAAATCTTAAGACCAGTCAAAAAATTGCAAGAATTTGCATTTAGCATTATTGGATCTTAAGAAGGTTCTAAGTAGAGCTTCACAATGTTAAAAGAAGAAATCAGCATAAGAGACAAAAACATTGAGCGGGAATTAATTGAAAAACTGCATTTATACTCAAACATGATTTTTCAGCTGATCAAAAGTTTAAGACCATAGCTCAAAAAACCTCCAAAACCCCCCAAAACAGAAATCAAAGTGCCAAAAAAAGGACTCAGTAATGAGTAGCTCCACCATTCTTGTTGATGACGTCAAACAATCGTTTAGGCATGCTTGATGCCAGTGTTTCCAGGAGGCTAGTGGGAACATTGCTCCAAGTGTTGAAAATGGCTTCACAAAGGGCATCCACTGTCTGGAACTGATGTCCATTTTCGTAAACTTCCCTTGCCATCCATCCCCAAATGTTCTCAATTGGGTTTAGATCCGGGGAACATGCAGGATGGTCCAAAAGAGTGATGTTATTCTTGGAAGAACTGCTTTGTCAGGCGGGCATTGTGAACTGCAGCATTGTCTTGTTGAAAAACTCAATCATTACCACACAGACGAGGGCCCTCAGTCATGAGGGATGCCTGCTGCAACATCTCCACATAGCCAGCTGCTGTTTGACGCCCCTGCACAACCTGAAGCTCCATTGTTCCATTGAAGGAAAACGCACCCCAAATCATGATGGCGCCCCCACCACTGTGCCGTGTAGAAAACATCTCAGGTGGGATCTCCCTGTCATGCCAGTAACGTTGGAAGCCATCAGGATCATCAAGCCAAAACTTTTTCTCATCATGGAAGACAACTTTCTTCCACCTTTCAATGTCCCATGTTTGGTGCACCCTTGCAAAGTCCAAACGGGCAATTCTGTGGAGTTGAAGAAGACGTGGCCTTTGAAGACGTTTTTTGTTTCTGAAGCCCTTCCCTTGCAGATGCCGTCTGATGGTTATCGGGCTGCAGTCGGCACCAGTAATGGCTTTAATTTGGGTAGAGGATCGTCCCTTGTCTTGACGGACAGCCAATCGGATCCTGCGGTTCAGAGCTGGTGAAATTTTTTTGGGTCTACCGCTTGACTTTTTGTTCCATAACCCTCAGGATCATTTAAAAAATGCAAAATGACTGTCTTACTGCGTCCAACCTCAGCAGCAATGGCACGTTGTGAGAGGCCTTGCTTATGCAGCTCAACAATCCTGCCACGTTCAGAGTCAGTGAATTTTTTTGCTTTTGCCATCTGGAGGTCTTGACAGTGTAAAGACTTCACAGAACATGACATGGAATCCAGATTTTTGCACAGCTTTTGGCTTTTAAAGACTATGGTCTTAAACTTTTGATCAGCTGAAAAAATCATGTTTGAGTGTAAATGCAGTTTTCAGAAAATTCCCTGCTCAAATGTTTTTGTCTCTTGCACTAATATTTTCTTTTAACATTGTGAAGCTCTACTTAGAATCTTCTTAAGATTCAATAGTGCAAAATGCAAATTCTTGCAATTTTTTGACTGGTCTTAAGATTTTGATCAGGAGTGTATTGCAATAGCATAATAGTGCAAGAACGTATTGTCTAAGATCAATAAATACAATTTTCTAACAAACGTTCAACACTGAAACTGGAAGACATTTTAAATGTCAAAATAAATACAAAGAAACAATAAATAAAATGTACTATGGATGCTCTGTAAAAAAAATCATCTTTGCACCAAATTGAAGACTTTTGTCATCCAGATCTTAGTAGAAAAGGAGAAAAATGATAAATCATACATATAAATAATTGAGCTTGTCTTAATTTATCAATTTATTGCTTATTGTGACAGACATAACCAAGATGAATAGCGGTGGGTATGATTTTCTTTATCTGAGATTTCTTGCTGGATTAGATACAGGTGTGGCTTGTGAAACTGATCCAAGAGGGGATGAAATGGCTTTAAACAATTAATTCCAGAATCAACAAGGGGATCATTAACTATTTTTACTTGGGGATAAGTTAGTTTGGCTAATCTTTATTTCTTTATGTTTGTTTGATGCTCTGAAATATATTTGGGTCATAAATCCAAAAACAAAGAACTGTATTTGGTCAAGTTTGTGGTTTGGAGCCGTTACCTTTAAGTGAGAGCAGAGTCCTCTCCAACGAGTTGAGCGCTGCAGCCTCATCTCTGGCACAGACTTGCTGCAGGAAGCAGTCGGTGTGATGACTCCACAGGGAACATGCAAAGCTGTAGATGCCTGATGCCAGCTGCCAACAATCATAATGACAGTAAAGTCAGTCACATTCACATAGCATTATCGTGGATTTAAGCAGGCGTTTCATCCGTGCAACACAAGGGAAATTAATTAATGTTAATTATGTATGAGCATAACAGATCTGCATGTTTGTGAACTGCACCTGTAATACAGACTAATCCTGTTATTGCTGCACTCCAGCCCACAAAAGGAAAGTGGAAGTTCTAAGATAAGAGCTGAACGCTCTTCTTCTTGATGAGGTAAATTTTTGAAGACAATATTTTTTTTAAATCTCTCAATACTAAAGAGTTTTTAATGCTATAGTGGTTGCCAAACAGAATAAAAATACCAAATCCATTAAATCTCTTACAATACCAAGAGTGGCTCAACATTCTGGCATTTAAGTGTTTTAACGCTGGAGCTAAGAAACAAATCAAGAATTGTTCAAATGCGAAATGACATTGAAATAAATAAACATTTATTCTAAGATGAAGGCAAACAAACCAAAGTGAAATCTTAAAACATTTAAACCTTAGAAAAACAGTAAACATGCAACAAATACTCAAAGAAAATAAACTACGGAGTCAGATGGGAAAAAATTAGATCCAATGGCTGTGCTGGTGATGAGCGCCTGCTGAAAATGAAATCCGTATTTTGACAGCACAGCACAGGCTTTGATATATGTTACAAAAACAGCCAGACTGGCAAGTTTTCTGTTTAGAGAGACTTTTCAAGAGCTTCCCACTTTCCATTCCTCAGATCCCAGACTAATCCAATTTATGGCAGCTGAAAGAAATGAAGCAAGGTTGGAAAAAAAATCTCACATTATTCTCATCTCTATATCGAACCTTGGTTTGTATTCTTATTGCATTAACTGATATGCAAAAAGCTGCATTTGGTAGGGGAGTTGAAACTTGACTTTGCATTTATAAAAATAAAAGGTATTTGTGGTTAGCTGCATTTTATCGTGTCTCTCGTGGTACATGGACTATACCAAGAGATTATCCAGATGCATTTATTTATTTAAGACTACATAAACGAACATCTACCTGCCAGTACTCCCAATCATTAAATTGAGAAACAAATTTAGGAAAAATCAAATGAAAAAAAAATATTTTTAAGAAGAAACAAAACAACTATTTATGAAGCTTTTAAATATGCTGTTTGCAACACTCTGTAGTTCAACTCATATGAGTGAACACGCATTAATTTCACCATAAGGTCTGTTCAGCTTACTAATATTTTTAGTCCAAAAATTGCTTGCCAAATGATAATTCTTACAAAAATATGGGTTTGACACAATTGCAATGTGCTGCAGCCAATATCAAACTGTGTATAAAACCTGGAGTTAATGCTTTAAAAATGAAGTAAACAAAGATGGAATTCTTCAAACACGGTGAGACTTATAAAAATATATATTTTAAAAATGATAAGGCCTGGATTATTTATGATTATTTAATATAATCACCCATCACTTCAGTGCATGTTTCAGTTGGAGGCAAATAAAAACACTGATCATGCAATGTGTGTTTTTACCTAAATAAAATAGACTGTTATGGTTCAGCAGAAGGCTTCTTAAAAAAATGGATTTTCTGAGATGTAAAAACTATGGCCCTTAGGTGGAATTTTGCTCTAATAAATATTACCAAAGAACAAACAGAAACAATGTTAAAACCAAAAGCTTTGGGCTATAAATAATTTTTAAATAAAAATTACAATGCTCTTTTTATTTGCTGCAGACAGAAAGCTTTCAGCATTACCGTTAATAACGGAGATGGAAAATAACTTCGACATTTACATGGAAGGAAAACACTGATTAGAGCACCATTTGAATTCCAAATATTGGGTTTGGAAAATTACTGCAGAATGACTGAACATCAAAGAAGCCAATATTTCCCCACCTCTGGGTAAAAACATCCAGCTTTACACAAATAAAGCTAAAAAAAAAAAAAGCCAAAAATCAATGAAAAAACAGTTTTCTTCTTCATGCTGATTTTCTATTCACCTCACACAATCATCACCAAAGGAAACTGAAAGAATCATTTTATTCACAGCTCTTGCAAAGAAAAAAAAAATACATTATCCTGTAGGATATTGGACCACAACCCTATTTGAGAGCATGGTTGCCAACAGACAAAAACATCCGGCAAGTGGTAGCTGGGTAGATGGACCCTGTTGATGAAAGAGGAAACCGAGGCTGTGAAGGTTGTCACAGCTGACGACCTACAGTAGCCAAGATGACCTGTGAATTCTTCTGTTTTTAACTTATAGCTGCTTTTAAACTTTCTATAGATAAAATACATTCAGGTGTAGTTTATATGGGAACTTAAAGGTACAAGGGCTATATTTAAACAATTCAACCCAAAATGTCAGAAGTACTCCAAAGTGAAGTCAAGGCTTTTCCTTTATTTTAAAAAAAGGAGCTCTATTTTTACCTGACACTGAGTTTGGCCAACTTTAAATGGAAAGTAGCAAAAGCCTCTGGAATGATGCTGTGCAATAATTAGCATATCCATTTTGCCATTGCATTCTATTTGCATTTTTTTCTCGTGACAGCCATTGTCAGGCTTTTACATCCAGTTGCTTCAGTGCTGCTCACATAGAGCATTTTAAAACTGCTGAATTCCCAATAAAGCTTTTTTCATTTGCATATTTCCCCTCCATTTCTGTTATCAGACACTGAAAGGAGTCTACAATACTGAGAAGCACCCCATTTAACACAAGTTAACCAATAGCTGCCAACAAGTCATTTCTAAGCTCCTGTTTTGTACTTATTAGAAAAATGTGATGCCAGCTGACAGAAGACAAATATATATGACAGAGCCTGTTCTGCGATTTCTGTTGTACTTGCATACAGCTGGATTGTTCAATAGCAATTTTTTTTTTTTGGGGGGGGGGCAGGGGTTTCAATAGAGTCACACAAAAAACTTGAAAAGTGAGTAAAAAAAATAAAAAAGATCTACACCCAAACAACTTTGGGAACTGTACTAGCTATTCCAACAAAAAGCAGCAAAAAAAAAAGAAAAAGAAAAAAAAACAGCTTAAGATTGATATTACAACCAACACCAATGTATCCCATTGTACCTTTTAGCCCTTGTTCAACACAATGTTAGCCCTGGCCCAGTTTTAATAACCAATGTTTATTTCCATCCTGTTGCTGCTTCGCTATGTGTTTTCATCACGAAATTGAAGCAGAAAAGCCAAGTCATTGGTTCTGGTTGCTTTTTATGGTGTTAAAAGTTAAAATTTATATCTGGTATCTATAAATATCAGCTAGCAACCTTAACAGCAATATTATACAAGACTGGCTCAAATCTAGACTTTTAATTGAAACTATGAAGACTGTTATACTCAAACAATATAATTTACTTGTCCCTATTGCACAGCTAAGGGGTTCAGTTGCTATTGCCTATTTAATGATTAATCTATTTAATTAAAATATACAAAGCAAAATGTCCCAAAGTGCCAGCCCATCAAAAACAGAGAATGGGCTGCACAGACCAGTACATGCATATTTAAAGTAAATGTTTCCTTGAAGTGAACTGCTAAGACAGCAACCCCTGCCAGTATTAACAGAACATAAAAAGATGAACAGAAAAAAATTATTGAAGGCCAAACCTAAAAGAGAATTATCAGTGGAAAGAAGAACTGTCTGACATTAAGAAATCAAACCACAGGGAAAGGAAGCGGAACCTGAAAGGCAGGACTCTGCTCACTTCTTCTCCTTAATACTTCTGAAGACATACCGACTAAAATCACTGGTAAGTGTCCCAGTTTCTTCTTTCAACTTTATATTCTGCATTAACCCCTAACTTCAGAGGTGATTCCACCTGCTGTCAGTCTTATACCTTAGGTACATCACTCATATGCTTTGCACACCCACATCTTGCCTCTACATCCCTCCTCTGCTCTCATTTTTTTCACCATCTAATTACCTTTGCATCTGGCAAAGTAGTACAGTTAGCACCCTGAGCATCAGCAAGTGATCCATCATCCTGTGCACCACCAACCACTTTGTCTTGGGCTTAGGAACAAAAAGGAGATAGTGCACACACAGCATATAAATGCCTACACACAGAAATGTTACTTTAGCTACACAACTATGTAATAAAACGGCTGTTTGCTGATAAGTAGTTTTGCTTTAGTAGCAGACAATTTTACATCTTAAGACATGAAATGAACAAAAGTGCCAACTAAACTCAAATGTAAGGTTTTCATTAGCATCGAACCCAAACAAAACATGTGACTTCTCCCCTCATAGTGTAAGGGTCAATTGTTTGTGGACTACCCTTGAAACCTTGTTGGTGCAAGGAAGTCTACCAATATAAATTCATTCCAGTTTTGATAATCTATGTGGGCAACTATTGAGCTACAATTATGCCAGAAGCTTGTTTTTTGGGGGGCCAAAAACTGTGCAGTTTCTTTACAGCTTGGTAAGACGGATTTAACCAAATACTAGTTGAGGCTATCCGTTTACCAGCTGCGGATTAGAGGGAATCCCCATTAAAACTCAAAGTAGTGCATCCATTTCTCGTTTTAAAATTTGCGGAAGTTATTTGTTGGATCATCAAACATCCTGGGAAAACTCAGATCCATCTTTCATTATGTAGCAGGTAGTGAAGTATGTAAACTTTAAACCCATCACAAATGATACAGACAAGAATCCTTGTATATTAAATGCAAGGTGGTGTTTCAAACCACCTTTTGAGTATGCTCCAACTAACAGTACAGAACACTGTGTAGGTTGTTCAATGTCAAAGTAAATGGTATATCATTAAAAAACTGCACAGCCTAATAGGCCCAGAGCCCACTATGTATCAAGTTGTCTGTAGAAGGGATACATTTTGGCATGGATTCTGGCACAGTGCTTTAGCCTCACATCTGAAGTTGTTTTTTGCCTCTCACTCACTCATTCCCATGTCCAATAATCTTTATCTTTCTTCTTCTGCTGTTCTTTAGTCAGTTTCTTTTATTATGGGCTTTGCCTAAAACAAGGGTCTTTGGATATTTTTTATTCACACAATTTAATCTTTCCAGTGCTGGATTGTGAAAAGAATGTGTAGCTCTAATTTATGTTCCAACATTTATCCCTACAACAAGCGACATACACTTCTAATAAAGAACTTGCCTAAAAAGAAATATGCATATAAAAAGGATGTCACATTATGTACAATATAAATAGATGAAACTGGAGGAAAAAATCTCATCTCACGTCTTATCTATTTGCTTTCAAAAGGTGCTGCTATCAACATGAGGAAAAAAAGCAAACACAAAGTTTCCCAAGAGAAAAGTTTTTTTCCTCTTTATGTGTACACTTAAAAATCCATTTCATTCCTCTGGCACTGAGATCAAAATAAATAAAGCAGTCTAGAGAATAAGAATTAATAGCAGCTAATTAATTTTTAAAAAATCTTATGTTGTTGGTGTGAACTTACATCTTGAAAAAGACGCCTGTCCTGTGCCAAACGCTTGGATGCCAATGTTTTGGTGACGTGATAGAAAGTTAGCAGTGCTCTGTGCTGCAGCAGACCGTCTTGACCCTTTACGGATTCGAGCAGAATTGGAATGAGCTCAGGCCATTGCCTCGGGCAATCAAGGCGGGCCACCTTGGCTATCAGTACCGCGATCTGGGTTGCTATCTGTTGAGAAGAAGGAAAAAAAAACAGTGTAAACGAACATATCCAGAGGCAAGCATTAATACAACAGCAGGTGGTTTTGTCAACTAAACTAAAAGGGAATTGTGCACAACTGCAGAGCATAGTTGATCAGATCTATTATGAATATATTGTTTGCAAACCACTTTTAAAAAGAAGCAGTTGAGTCGATACCACAGATGTACATATCAGGCGTAAGATGTATGCAGCACTTAACATTAAAAACAAGATGATTCTCTTTTACAAAATCAAACTGCAATAAACTCCAGTTTGAATTTTACTAAGCAGAGAAAAAAAATCCCAAGCTGGTGGCAGTTTTTATCTTTTAATGCAATCAAGTAACATGTGGAAAACTCCTACATTTCATTATTTAAACCTGTGAACCAGCAATCAGATCTGATTCTTATGATTAGCCATTTCAGAGCAAATTTTTTGATGAATCCTCTTATAATATTTTTGATACATTTTTGCTTTCACTGCTTCTTTATATTAACGACATGTCTGTGTAATGCATCACTCAGCAAAGGCTTTAACACAACAGCTCCTGTTTTCATCAATACAGACATGAATTAAGACAAATACATACATTATAAGGATGAATAGGACACTTAACTGTGCAAAACTTGAATTTATATGTCCAAATGTTTGCAAAAATTATGTGATGTATTTAATGTTGTAACCAGAAGAGTTATCTTTAACAGAAACAATGCATCAAAATATTTATTAGTCTTTGTGGACTTAATGTTGGAGCAAAATATAAGCTTGCATATGTTTTGCAAAGGTCTGACATTTTGATTAGCTTGTTAGCGGTAAAGCTTGTTTGGGATCCTCATAAGAAAAGGTCAAGTGCCAAAAGTGAAAAAGACAGAATGATACTTTTAAAAACTTGACCAATTAATAATATTGAGGGCAAGAAGTGCAATACGTCAACAATTGAGTAAAGTATAATTTTATATGTCAAAATATAACTAAAACGGCAAAGATATGGGTGCTGTGGTGGTGCAGGAGTAAAGCAAAGCCCGCAGCCTGTCCAGTTAGCCAATCAGAGGATAGACATATAATTAATAAGCTATGGCTGAAGTTTAAAGAGAAAAAAAGTAATTAAACACTTAAGTAATGATATAATGATATCATCATATTCATGTTAGAAATAGCTATAAACCTAATTTGACTCTGTGTTTAATAATATCTGAATGCAAGTTTTCCCACATCCATCGGCCATTATTTGTTCTACGAATAGGTAAGTTCTAAGAGTTCATATTGATTGGAGAACCTCTAAATGTGAATTTTAATACCATGAAACAGTGACTGGACAAAACACACTAGCCTCTCAAGAAGCTTGAATTGAGAGAGCAAAGGCTGAAAGTGGTGAGACATATGGAGCTCAAAAGTATATTCATTCCCTCCCATATGGATCCCATCAGTTCTGACATTACATAGCTGTCCCTCAGGGATACACAAGCTGCAGAAAGCAGAACTAATGGCAACCGTTCAGGGCCACCATTCATGCCCAGACTTTTCAACCTCCATAACTGGAGGTTGAAATAAAATTACATTAGAAAAGACTAATGGCTTTGTATCAGTTTTCTTGTTCAGGAGCAAGTTTTGTTTAGAGGGGGAAAAAAAAACGAGTTAAATCCTTTTTGCAATTTTTGCCAGTATATTCCATTCTCCCAACTAACCTGATTGACGGGTTCATTGAAGTTTGTGATAAGACCAGCACGCAGCGATCTCTTCTCCTCCTCTGATAATGCACTGTCAACAAAGCAAACAAAGATATTCAGAGGGAGAAAGCGGGCAAGGAGAAAACAATGCACAGTACCATACAAGTTTAGAGTTTAATGTGTTCTCATAATTCTCTTGATGCACAATTATTTAATTCATTAGGATTTTATGAAGGCACACCAGCCACAATAACAATAAAGAAACAAATAACTCCAGACTAAACTTGCAACATTGTGGCTGAAGATGAAATGCTCCCCATCCAGCATCCTGTGTTTACCACTAGAACACCAAGCACATTATCACAGGTGATTGCAATGCACATCCCAAGACAGCACTGTCCTCTCATTTCCATACATGCAAGTCAATTACATAAACTGGCAATATGGAACACATCAACGTACCTATTTATCATGGGACTAACTAGCTAAAATCCACCGTAAAACAATTGATTGAATTATGCAATTTAAAGTATTTCCCAGAAGGTTCCTACTGTATGCAAGTGACTATGGCACTTACAAGGGATACACTAATATGAACATTTCAGCAGATCTCAATATTTGATTTTAATATTATAATAGTATTGCTATGGCCGATAACCAACATTTACCAATATTAATACATCTTGGCCCTTTCAACACTTTGACTTCACCACTGATCTGCTTCCTTTGCAAGAAACAGAAATAATGAGAACATAGTGTTAAGTTGACTATTTCTCTAACACTGCTGGGTTATTTTTATAATAAGAAAAACGTTGTTCTTTTGTTGCTTGAAGTATTGGTGTGTTACTCTGTAACATCCAGTAAATTAGACTGTATGATTTCCCATTGTCCGCGAATGCATCAGGATTTTGTTTGTGTTGTTTTGGCGTGGTTACGGCCAACAGTAATGGCGTGCTGCTATTGTCAATAAATGACAGTTCATTTGACTACTTCTCGTCATTATTGCACGTCTGGCAAAATGCGACTATATGAACGTAAGAGTTGCATGGAACCGGTCAAGGAGCCGCATGTGGCTCGTGAGCCGCGGGTTGGCCATCCCTGCTCTAAAGAGATATTTGCTAGCATATTTTCAGGGCATTTTTTCACCCTCTTATTGCTTGAGCATTGATTAAAACAGCATGGTACCATAGTCCAAGCCTATTTAATTATATTTTCTTCTCATAGTAAAAAGATCAAACGGACAACAAAAATTGTGGTCTATCATCATAGCATACTTAACTACTCTATTAGGGTATAATGATACCTAAAACTCACAAGAACAAGACGGGACACGATATTACTTTCATAAAAACTTCAAAGCTTAAATTTATGCTGCATTACTTATTCAACATTTTTATACATTTTGAAACAAAGCAATAAACTGATGTCTTTTTCTAATTTCTTTTAACTTTTCAGACCTTAAGACAGCGCTTCACCAAGGTATGGCCTGCAGTACAACATTTCTGTTTCCCCAGTTGCTTCAAATTGTGACGTAGCTCAAATAACCGCTGAGGGGGTTTTTCTGAGGGGAGGTGAACTACTGAGACAGTGATGCCAAAGCTTTACTGAGACTAAAAGAAAGGTCCCCATTACCTCAACCAAAATGACCAAAGTGGTACCAACGTGTGACACTACTTGCAACAATCTAAGCAAGGATTAAAGTGAAAAAGTCACTACCTCAATTTGTCATTTTGCCTTCTAATGCAGTTTTGAGTAGATAATGAGGACCATTTGCCATCCTAAAGACTGAAGCAGAAATTATTATAATCATTTTGAAATAAAAGCTGATTTTAAAGTGAAGCACTGTCCAAAAAATTGGAATTGAATTAAATCTTTAGATAATCAAAAGATTCCCTCCCATAGCAACCAGGTACCCAAACATTAGATGTTTGTCTTGAAATATCCCAAAATCAATCTTACATAAGACACAAGAGGCATGAGTGAATTAACCGAGTATCAAACCGAACCACAAAGAGATGGATAGTTAAACTAAGAAAGTAAAAAAAAAAAAAAAAAAAAAAGACAGCTGGAGAAACATCAAGCAGATGAAAGCTAAAACAGATAAAAGCCTGGATAAAGAAAAAATGGTGGAAAGGGACTAAAAACTAAGAACAGTTTAGCCTCATAGACAAGAAAGGAGATTAAAACTGATGCATATAGATAGGACATTTGGGGATAAAACATGGAATAAAAGCATAAAGATGAGGCACACTGCAGAGACAAAAAAGCTGCAGATGGAAGTGAGAGTCTGGGGGATGAGACATGCAAGTACTTACTGAGGGGCCACTCTCCTCCAGTATCTGTCAATGCCATTTTTGAAGTAAAGCACAGCAAGCCATCTCACGTTCACATCCAGCGTATGGTTATTGAAAATATTCTGGGAGGGAAAAAAAATACAAATTTGGACAGTCGCCACCAATGAAAGTGTTATAGCTCATAATCAATACAAGACAAGACTGATCCAGTTTTATGACAGTTACAGACTTAAAACTGAAACTGCAAAGTAAAAATTTCAACCAAAATATGACAGGACTTCCACAATTACAGAACAGCTCCTTTTAAAACACAGTGCACAGCGACTTTCTAGCCAAGACTGTCCGGGCCATTATTCCCGACACGTCTGAACTATAAATTGTGGTAATAAACCCTGAAAACATGTCTGAGTAGGCTATGTATTAAGAGTTATTTGCGTTAGCACAGCAACGGCAGGAGCTCCATAAAAGACCGCTCACAGTAATATCGGAGATCGGAATCTCAGCTATCATTTTTTGCCAATTGGAAAGTGTGTCGATTAACATTTGGGCTTTTGTACAAATATAAAACATCCATCTGTTGCATTAAGGGAACAGCACAGACCATTAGCAGAGCTCCACAGCATAACTATTTACTTCCAATATGCAAGTGAAAAACGGCCTGCTGCCACTTGGCTTTTATCAGATCCAGTCAGCAGAGCTAGAATTAAGCTGGTTTGGCTCTCTTTTGATCAATTCACACAGACACTACTCTCCAGAAATAACTGAGACATATTGTGCACCCTGGCTTAATTGGGACCACAGCATCACAAGCAGCCGCACAAAGCACAAATTTGTTGTGAACATTTCTAGTGAGTGCTGAATTATCTGTGGAACCGATGACAACACACATCAGAAGTCGAAGCTTCATTTGTGTTTCAAAACACACTCAGAAAACCATTTGAAGACTCTCTTGATGATCAGGTCTAGAGATGGGCTTTGGACTGCCTGGAGTTGCATCTTGTTACATACACTTCCCAGCAAGAGATTCTTCAAGTCAGACACTTGAAACAAGAGGTATTCCAATGTGGCAGCATAGGTGGAAGACACGGGAGGCAGATAATTATCCAAATTGTGCACGGTAGATAATGTTAATGGCCCAACGTGGACGAGGACTTCCCATTATGTAGACACAATTGCTAAATTTGTCTATATCACTACTACACATAATTAGAAGTGCAATATTGTAGCATAAAAATTATAAAATGACAAGAAAAAGGAAGAATCAGTCTCATTGTTGAATTCGAGATTGTTTACAAGAGACAAGTAGTAATTGTCAAAGTAGAAGTTGACAGAGCTTCTGTATGCATTTCATTTACTTTTATGTAGATTAGAATATTTTGATAACCATAAAATGCCCAATACGCAAAAACATGAATCGAGGGGTCCAATTCCCAATCCTTACCATGCAGTAAGCAACCAAGCAAGGACAAAACTGTAGATTTTGTGTCATCTTCTGCCTCGTAATACGTGAGAACTGCTCTCTAACAGAAACTCTGTTGTAAAGTATGTGTGAAATGATGTTATGGAAAATTTTCAGGCAAAACTAGTTGTGCGATACACATTTCACACATACTCTACAGGTGTATAATGTGTGAAAAACACCACAGATAGCAGGTAAAAATAATTACAATGACGTCACACTCAATGTAGCATTGGAACAGAATACAAATATAAAAGAGAAAGAACACTGATTCAGAAATTATAAAGCACATAAAGTCATATTCTGGAAATGACCAACACACCAAACACATAACTTGCGTAATAAACTACTTCAGCATAAATAAGATTGTTTTCAAATTTAAATTATTGCCTTCCCTTCCTTATTTATTAAAATGCTAAATTAAAATAAAAATGGTAATTTCATATGCATGTTGACTGGGATGTGTTTTTTTCATATTTCATATTACATGCAAAGCACTCCTACTGACAAAATAAAACAGAAAATATTTTTTTCCCCATGACTGGTTCTGAGTTCTTTGTGTTTTGCTAAGCAGAGCACATACTGGGCCAATTTCACTACAAATTGCAGAGATGAAAGTGAAACGCATCTCATCATTCGAGTCTGGCGAGAACAGTAAACAAATAGTTTTCCTAAAATATCTGAGTAATCGCTCTGGTGGATTGCACTGTGTACTGACTGAATTTATGAACCACCTTTGCATCTTTACAGATACCATCTGCGGTCTAACTATCAGCAACCAAATCTTAATAAAACCTTTCAGTAGTAATATGAGTAATTCTTTAACACAAATTAATCCCCAGCTGTCTGTGATGTACTGCTCGCCTTTTTGGCAACTTCAAATTCTTCCTGTGATTACAACTATTGTGTGAAATTGACAGGATGAATTATCAATGAAAAATGTAGGTGTGCCTAACCCCTCATTATGGTATTGCTAAATGTAATGATGATAAAAGATTTTCCCCTTTAATTTAAAAACCAATCCTCAGATTCTAACTTTACAACAGCCAGTTTTCTGCTTCATCTGCCACATTCATCAAACTGACAATTTGTTCAAGTTTCTTATAGATTTTATTACACTTTCATATTGTAACTCACCAGAAGTACTGAATAGAAGCCCGGCTGTGTCTCCCACTGCCGGAGCTGCTCCTCTGCAGGCTTCAGCACGGCTGTGTCCTGACTGGTGGCTTGGGTTAAGGCCTGCAGCACCACTGAACTGGCACTGTCCACATCCATGGCTGGATATATCTGCCACCATAAGAAGGAAGAGAGTCAAGCTCAGCATAAACAAAAAGCGAAAACTTCAGGTTGACTTGAAAGAAAAAAAAATTTATTATTTCATTGTGGGGGAAAAAATGTAAAACAACATCAAGAGCAAACTGGAGTAGATTTGCATCTACAAAGAACACGAGAACATGAAACACTCGCTTTCACTTTATCTGACTGAATTACTTCGACCCCCTTTCATAATAGATCAAGTGGTGCTGAAACCCGTACTGAACTGAAAAATTAAAAAAAAAAACACAGATCTTCAAAAAAGAAAAGTATACCCAGCAGAAACAGTTGGAGATGTCACTGACATGCAAATTCTTTATATATGTCCCAGCTGTTACTTAAGCACCTCAGTTTCACACATCCAAAGACGTTTTTCATCTCCAAGAACAAGTCTGACTAATTTGCCTCTGTGTCTCAAATACGAAGTTAAACTGCTGCATAGCCACACCTGCTCTCGGGTCATGCTTTTAATTGTAGGGAGAATATATCTGGTGAGGGGAAAAAATATATTACCCTGCAAAGACACAGCTGCTAGTTTCACCATACCAATTAAAAAGCATAAATTAGGAACAAGAATTAACTGCTTCAACCATCTGAAAAATTGGCCATTTCTGAAAACATGATGGATTATCTTTGTCTGTTTTTTAATGGATTGTATGTTGGTTGATTATATGAATTTCAGGAAAGGGGAGGGTTAAAACTTGTGCAAGGTTGCCATCTACAGACCAGAAACAAATATTCATTCATATACAACAGAACTCTTCAGAAAATCCAAAAGATTTGCCTCTTTCTCAACACAGCAATTCTTGTTCTGATATCAACAACAATGTGTTGTTGATATCAGAACAGTTAAACAAAACCTGTAAAACTAATTAGACAAATAAAAAACAAAAAGAATCACTTTCATTCTTTTAAAATGTAATGTTGCTTCTCAGTTACTTGACAGTTATTTATTTCAGGTGTTTATTGCTGTCACTTTTGTTAATTGTCAGTTTTTTAGCGAGTGAAAATTATACACCAAAATGAATTAAAAAAGGATGTCTAATACAGAAATTGGAAGTGTGGTCACCAATCACTTTCTCTTGTTGCCGATCACATTTATCTCACTTCATAGCCTGCGTGTGCAGCTCATCTCCTCTTTCATTCACACTGCGCATGCGCACGCCAACAAATCCTGTGGTGTGAAGAGTGAATGGGGACATTTGTGTGTTGCCGTGGAAAATTATCTCGGGGGTGAAGCAAGTCAAAATGCATCAACACAACAAGTGTAATACGGCATTTAAAAACAAGCACTTGACAGAGTTAGGCTGTATCGAGAAAAAAGGACATCCGGAGCGGCCGAATAGCAGGTAAAGCAGTGCACAACTACCAACACTCACCTGGATTAGCATCACGGTCAGAAAGCTAAACAAATAACCCAAAAAAACATTCAAGACTTCGAGCTGGTGGTGTAAGACGCTGGGATCTACTCCCGTTGTTGGACCGTCGCTACACGCCACTGGTAGTAATATTTCACAAACGTAGCGCTGTTCAACCACCACCATACAATGAACTCTCTCACCGAACATCTGCTTAAAGCTGCAGAATGTAATTTTAAAAAATAAAAGCTTTTAGATATGCATTAAAATATGTCTATAATGTCTAAATTAGGTGAATTTATTGCCAGATAACACAGCATCATGTATACCTAAATCAATAAATTAACAGCCATTCCAGGAGATCACCAAAGATCGGCCTCATGGATAGTCTGTATCAGAATCAGCAGCAAAAAACCTGATCAGAGCATAATTAACAGAAATACCTTGCTGTGTCTTAAAAACTTCAAGGGGAAAACTATTATTGATTTGTCAGTTGTCCCCTAGACAGTGAAAAAACACACCTCAGAGGGAGGATATGATATGAAGGTCATTGCTAAAGAAGCTGGCAGTTCACAGAGTACTTTATATAAGCATATTACATTGGCATATTATTGGATTAAGCAAAAGAAAAAGTGTGGTAGGAAAAGGTGCACAAGCAACAATTAGAACAGCAGCCCACAGAGGATTATGAAGCAAACTCACTGAAATGTAACCCAGACAATGTCAAAAGCACCTAAGCAGCGGAAAGAAGAAAAAGGATTTAACTCGGTTCTCCAAAGAACTCTTTTCAGATGAAAGCAAATTTTGATGTGGAAATGAAGGTCTCTGACTCTCAACTTTAAACTCTAAAGCAAAAGTATCCAATTCCAGTCCTTGCATGCTACTGTGCTGCAACTTGTGAATGCATACCTGTTCTAAAACACATTAAACAAACAGCTGAAAAGCCCCCTGGGAATGTCACCCAGTTTTGCAAATTCCTAAATATTAACCATCAATTTGATTCCCATCTAGAGCTAAATTTAGGCTTTTCAATAGGTAGACTCCATAAGGATCAAAATGAACAGAAATAAACTCTTAACAAATTAAGATATATATCTATTTGAGTAATGAACCTAAACAGGCCACATTTTTAAATTGTCAACTGAAAAACATTTCAGTTTAATAATAGTAATAAAAATAATAATAGTAATTGTAACATTTGAAAATGTTGTAATTAATTGAAATGTACCTGTAATGCTTGCAGGGTATGGCTTGGTTCGAGGAAGTTGATGCAATTTAGACATTAAACCCTAAACATTGTTGCTCAGCAACTGCGCTCTACAATACAAGTTCAATTATAGCAAAAAGTAGTACAATTGGGCTCCCAAATTCAGGAAACCGGCTTCAGAATGCCTGAAGACACAAATTAGGAGGATCACTGCAGTTTTATAGGCAGCTAAAATGATAAAACCAATGGAGAACGAAGTGGACATCAGCACGGGGGGAAACACCAAATAGTCAGGAAAAGATGGCTCAGTTGCAGCCTTAATCCAAATTGTGCAATATTCAGCAACTGTACTGCAATTGCATTAGAGTAATTGTTGCAATTAATGTGCTTAGAATGCTGCGTGCCCATAAAACTGTCATGTTCTTTTCGAGCACAGGCGAGACCTAAACTAGCTCTAAGACATGTTCATATTCAACAATCTGCTGTCGGGATTCGGAAAAGACCGTAGCTATGTCATGACAGCTTGCTTCACATCACCATTCCGCATGTCACTCATTCATAAAATACAAGCAGCTCATTTAATAATGACTTATTCAATGTACACATCACTAAACATCACAGCTAACTTTGAGCTAACTAGCAAGCTAAACTTCTTCAACCAGAAACCCACGGCCGTGCGTCAACGTTGAAACTGCTCACTTACTATGCGTCCTGTAATCGAATAAATGAGGTTTAAAAACGAGTAAAAAGCTCTCACCTCAAAAACGCCGAAAGAATAATGAAAGTGTAGTAATAACAGAGACGACCGTGGAAGCTCTGCCAGTCGTTTTCAATGTAACGAGCGATGGTAACACGCTGGTTGGAATGGCGCGACTTGCAGCTGGCGCATGCTGATGACGTATGAGGTTTAGCGTGCTCAGTCATGGAATTCATAGCTCCGTTCACTAACAAGAACCGAATGTGTCAGGTTCTAAGAACTACTCTCACCCTTGTCCTTCTCCTAGATTTTATAATGCAATGCAAAAATTGTATTATGAAACTTTTTAATGCAAAACAATTTCTATTATAAAAAGGTACACATCCTTATCATCTTATACCAGATAATGATTAAATACTCCAAAGAAAGTGAAATTGTCACATTTTGAAAAATTCTGGTGAACTGGAAACAGACTAATCGATTTTTTATATTTCAAATACTTTACAATCATAATATACTTAAATTACTACATAGGTCAATTTGGAAACTGTTGATTAAAATGGGAATTCATTTTATGTTAAAAGAACATACAATTATATTTGTTTTGGCAATTATTTTTTTAATTTAGGAGTCCTACTCTGCAGCTCACTTCAAACATAACACATGCCTGTTTGTAAAGTTTTGTTTTTACTTCTTAATAATTTGCTTGTTGTTTGTACTGTTGACAGTAAATAATTCTGTTTTTCTCTGCCTCTTTTAGCTATTCACACACACACACATCATAACTTTGCACATTATGTGCAAAGTAAAAAAAAAATTATACATTAGGGAACGCGCTCAAAACTAAGGTTAAAGGAAATGACACTCTAGGGAACGCCCACTTTCGGGTGTCCGTTAGATAAAGGCCAGCCAAGAGAACTAACTGCTGTTAAATGCCATTTTGCTCTGTTGGCTCCTAAGGACAGCATGAACAAATAGGCCAGTGCTGCATTTTAGTCTTAATTAATGGAATTCATGAATTCAACTCACTGACTCTTTTTCAACCTCATACATCAAGAACCTAAATGGAGAAAGGATAATTCTCTGTAATACCCATCCATGTACATCTTGTACATTTTTCTTCCCGAAATGAACCTACTGAGCTGCACATATTCAATGCCATATTCACAACTAAATTACAGCTTGGCAACTGATTACTGAAGACTCCCTATTGGAGACAACTCGGCTGCTAATATATCATCGTGCTGAAATCCACTCTTGGCAGAGAGTGCCTCCTAAGGACAACGGACTGGCGCAGCAGATTCCGAGGAACAACAGTCAAACGGAAACTATGTGCCCCAAAACAGAAGAGAGGGAAGCGGGCGGGCGCGTTGGCTCAGTTGATGGCTAGGAAGTCACAGATTCCAACTCTCTTTTTGGCCAATATCCGCTTACTGGATAACAAAGTGGACTTGTTACATCTGAGGCTGAGTTTCTCTACAGAGATGAGAAACTGGGCTGTTCTTGATCTAATGGAAACCTGGCTTAACAGCAACATACCAGATACTGCCTTCCAGATCAATGGTCTTCAGTTATTCTGAGCGGACAGTGACCAACAGTTGGGAAAAACACGGGGAGGAGGACTCTGTATGTTTATGATTGAAGGTTACTGTGGACTGGTCAAAAGCTGTGGTTCTGAGGAGATAGAACTTATGACAGTGAATAGCATCTACCCATACCTTCTACCTTGGGAGTTTACTGTGGTGTTCTTCACCATTGTTTATATCCTGCTGAGTGCTAATGGTAACACAGCATCAAAGAAGCTGTGTGACACCATTAGCTCACTGCAGATAAAGCCTCCGGAGGTTTCAGTCATGTGAAACTGATGGACACTCTGCCTAGTTTCTACCAGTATATCACCTTTCCTACACAAGGAGACAACACTCTAGACTGTGTATTCACTTTGCATACAGAACTCTTTCTCGCCCCCATCTTCGCCTCTCTGACCACATCTTCATGCTGCTGGAGCCAGCATATCCTACACTGATGAGATGGATCAGTACGCACAGGATAAGTGAGGCCCTGACTGCTGGCATTGTGAGGGCCAAACCCACATACACCAAGAAAATTCAACGTCACTTCATCACCAACAACATCAGACGCATAGAAAAGGGCATCAAGTGCATCGCAGAACACACTATGCCCAAGGGACCCTTGCTGCCAGATGAACTCAATAAGTTTCATGCCCGCTTTGAGGATTCTAACTCTCCCCTCAGCACCAGACTTATATTACCATCTAGTGATAAACCCCTCTGTGTAACCACAGCAGATATGAGGAAGTCCCTTCAGGAACTCAAATCAAAGCCCATAAGGCTGCAGGTCCCAACAACATCCCAGGTTGGGTATTGAGGGACTGTGCACGTCTGCTGTCTGGGGTGTTGGCAGACAGCAGCTAACACCCTCCTTGTCATTGGCATCTGTTCCCACTTGCTTCAAGATAGCCACTATTGTCCCTGTCCCTAAGTGCTCCACCATGATACTATGAATGACTGAATGATTACTGAGTTATGGTCTTAACATCAATATCATGAAGCGCTTTGAGAGGCTGGTCATGACCCGCATCAAGGACTCCATTGATGTCTCTGTGGTTCCCCATCAGTACACCTACAGGGGGAACCGCTCCACTCCTGATATCATCTCATTGGTGATCTACACAACCGTCACCCACTGAGAGAGCAGAAACTCTTACATCGATCTGCTCTTTCTGGATTTCTCCTCAACCTTCAACACCATAATTCCACAAACCCTGGTGCAGAAGCTCACCTCTCTTGGACTGAGTCCCACTCTGGGGAACTGGACTCTAGACTGGCAACAGTGACAGAGTGGAGAACATTGCAGAAACTCCTGGCTATTATGGACAATGCCAGCCACCCTCCGCTCCGCAGACTGTTATCAGCAGCCAGGAAAGCGGGTTCAGTGGGAGGCTGCTTTTTTCATAGTGCAAGACTAAAAGACTGAGGGACTCCTTTGTCCAGCATGCAATTAATCTTTTGAACTCCTCACTGGGAGGATGGAGGGCTAACAGGAGCCAACAGAAGCAGAGGGACTGTAGCTTTAGGGGTGAAGGGGAGACAGTCTGTTTACCAATTAGGCAATTGGCCAGTCAGCCAATGCAGCTAAGTTTCTAAAGTGTTTTTATATATATGTAAGAGTGCTGTGCAGGAGATGGCAATGGAATAAATAGAGTTTATTATCTATCTATCTCTCAGTCAATCTATTTCATATCTTTTAATTAATTTAACATGTCCTATACATTTTTAAACTCAGAAATGTAAATATATTTTCATTAATACTGTATCTGACTGCACTGACAATAATACAGTGTGTAAGCTTTTATCAACAGTATGTTATGTATGTATTAAAGTAAGTATATCCTGTATTGAATGGTCATTTTTAGAGATTCTCTAAATTCCGTTAGCTCGCATTGTTTGTGTTCAGGAGCTGGAACGTCTTTCTGGGTCATTCACAGCCAACACATCACAACACATTACCAGAAAATGTGAACATTTTACTAATGGAAAAGCACAAGAACAGAAAGTTGACTAGTGAAACTCTTAAATGAAAAGTATTTATTAAATGTAGAGTGAAATATTTAAAGGTTTTGTTTTTTGTTATTTTGATGAATTTGGCTTACAGATAATAAAAACTCAATGGCAAAAACATTATTAGAGAGGATCACCAAAAAATATGTATATATTTAAACAGAAATGTCCATTAGGCATTTCTGTTAAGTGTGGAGATTTTAATTAATCTATTTTTACTAGAATAACCCTTGAGCAAAAATCAGTCCAGCAAATTGCTGATACAGCTTTATTTCAATTGCTTTGGCTCATAACTGTTAGTTCAGTCTTCACAAGATTTTTCTATTTTTGCATATCATAGTAATAGTTTCTCATTCTTTCCAACAAATTGCAAACCATTTTGGACTTTGCTGATTTTTGGAATATGATGGTATAGTCCTTAATTAATCCCATACTGAGGAAACTCACTTCTTATGGCAGCACAGTAACAAAACATACCCCATTGAATATAAAAATATCTACTATTAATGTAATATAAAATATATAAGCATTAATATTTGCTTGTCATGTCAGTCAAAATGAACTAAACTTATCATTTCTGAATATGGTAGATGTTTCCTATCTAGGTAAAATTTCTCTTTTCATCAGTTGTGTAAAAATAAAATGTTGAATGTTTTGTCACACCAATCTCTCTCATGTTTATTATCAAAACTTCTGCAGTGCACCATGACATTGACATAGTGTCTGATGGGCAGGAAAGAAGGTCGAGACAGCCTGGCGACTGAAATAACAAAGACTGAAAGCTGTGCCTTATCAAAAACAAATGATCTGAATGAAAACAGCAGCATCTGAGGGCTCTCTGTTTGACAGGACGAGTGGCTGTAAAGCCAGTCGTTACTTGTTTGGATTTTTCTATTCCTCTCAAAAATTTTTCTGATATGATGCACTTTTTAAGACATTGTATAAGCTGGTCCCTGTTTGGTTTTGGAAATGTTGGTTATGCTGCTGCCTGACTTTTTTGTTTCTCTTCTAATTTTTCATCCTGGTTTCGAATGTACGCCCATTGTCAGTTTGCGACCTAATTTTGCTACATAATGATCCTAAACTACTACATTGAGATCATACACTGGAGGGTTAGCTTGATTTTGAGAATATCATTCCTGGTTTGGCTGCACCTCGTGTTGAATAGATTATCAAATTCCTTGGCTATGTCTCCTGTATTCTGCATTTGGATGTTTTCTTCATTGTCTCCTTCTTTCTGGCAATAACTGAAGCCATAAGGCACAAAATAAATAGTTTGAAAAGAAAAAACAAAGTTTCATCACAAATCAACTTAATGAAGGCTATCAAATTAATGGAGAAGCTCAGAAAACACATAGCAACAAAGAACAATGAGCAAAGGAAAGTAGAGACACAAAAGAACATAACTGATCAAAAGCATGACCATTACAGTAGCTTTCTGCTTAGGGACACTTCTCATTGTGCCAAACCAAGCATGCAGCAGTAAGGGTCATACAAAAGCATAAGCATAAACACTGTTGCCACTGTTGACAGATTGCACCTCTGGGACAAATGACCACAGGCAGACAGACAAATCTCCCCAATTG